ATCTGGCTCTCTGCTCTCTTCTCGACCGAGCGTGGTGCAGTGGTTCTCTGAAAAGGCGAAAAAACGCAATTCCCAGCAAACCTGTCAGCCAGAGTTCCTGATGGAAAAACCCATCGGCCGAGACATCTTGTGAGAAAAGTCTCATATATCCTCAGGCACAACACGGAATGTTGCGTGCTGTAGATAGCCGCCGTTTTGGGAAAAAAGGATCTCGGTGCTGTCACGTTGTGGAACCACTGGTTGGAACCACGAACAGATATCCTCCGGGTTTCCACCTTTACGGAGCACATACTCGGTACAGTGTTGAATTTCAGGTGTTGTTTTCCACGTTCTGCCTGCATGTAGATCAAAAGGAAAAAAAAAATCCTACGCGAAAGGAAATCAGACGATTCTGTTGGGGGTTGTTTTCAAGCACATTCAAGCACGTACAACTGCTAGGAGTCGAGCTGAAGGCTTTTATACGAGACACCTGTTATCTTGTGTCATTGACGATTTCTTTCCGTGATTCCCCGAGGCCTATCTCGGTACGGATGTGCCGGATCTCCATCGTGAAGTTTCAAAAACTTCGTGCGTTTTGAAACTTTTGTAGAACATTAGAAGTCGTACGCCCTGAGATCCGGTAATCGGCAATATTTCTTCCAAAATTCGTGTTGTGCACAGGAATTCTTTAGCAGTACCATGGCAGAAACATCCAGGACTAAAATTCTCTAACTCTATAGTACTTAGATTAGACTTCAACTAAAATGATTTCTGTATGCAAATCCGTAGTGAATGCAACAGCCAGCGACTGCATAAATTATCCTGTATGTGGGGTAAAGTCTATGAGGCCAATCAGGTTTTTGTGACTGAGTTTAAAGCTTTGGGACTTGGTCACGCCAGAAGCTCATGGCCTCGGAACAAACGTTTGGATAACGCCATAGGTATATGTAGGTACATATGCACTTATATGCATATCATAAACATCGAGGTGGTGTATATCTGGATGTATATCTGGGTGTTGGTTAGGACGCCACAAGCACATGGAATGTTGTGGGCAACTGTCTGAAGAAAAATATTTCCCTTTATCAAAATACGTTATCAGGTGACCATATGTATAGACTTCCAAGATATGCTACCATGTTCTGTTATTGAATTTATGCTGCGATATCCTGGTTTCCCCGGACTCCAGAGAAACTCATAGGACACCTTGTGAAAAAGTAACGGCTACGCCTTCTAGAGTAGAGCTTGGTCCGTGAAACATGTGTAACTATATATTACGTTGATTTTGACTTGAAAGTGCCTCGAGCATGCACCAAGACGGCACAAAGGGGCGGCAAACCCAAAATCTGCTTGTTAGTGCCTCGGGGAAATTGTTTATATCAAATAGTATCTAGTGCCTCGGGGACGTTGTTTATATCAAAAGAAATTATAGTATTTAGCGCCTTTCCACGGTGATAATAATTTTAACTTGTTCTTTTCAAATATTCCGCCTATGATTTCTTCTTCAGATGTGACCTTCTAGAAGGAATATATTTTCTATCAGGCCGGATTATGCGCGCTCCTTACAGCTGTCTGCACTTTCACTTTTCGAAGATTGACGTCTGCACAAGCAATAATTTATGTGCCGAAAATTGCACATCACAGCTAAGCGAAAGGCTTCATTGTTTGTGGTGGTTCCTGCAGGAGAAAAGCCTGACATCGCAGATCTCTGGACATATGACGTCCGGAAACATTTGGAAAAGCCGGCAAAACGTGCAAAAAGAACATGCTAAGATTCCTAAGACAGCTTCTCGACTGCTGCTTTTCCCCATTGGGTATTGACTATACTATTGAGTACCTGAGTAATGCCTTTATCTAGATTATGACGTCGCTTAATTTCGCGAAAATTCCTGGTATTCGTTAGTCGGATATCGGCCTTCCGCACCTGAGTTTAATTTATTTGTCATAAGTAGAGTGCATTTGAGATTAAAGCGTGGCGAATTATGGACCTGTGCAAGCCACATAAACAAAAGACGCTCCAAAATAAACTCTCTGTTGATAGAAATATTTTCGTGATTGACTAACTCTATCTTTTTGAGAAAAAGCACAGTTGTTATCCTCTACGGTGAGAGGCACCGCTTTCCAAATTGGATTCAACCCATGAGATTCTCATGGGTTGAAGATAGGGTTCCCCAGGAGCGGTGTCAATGGAAGTGATTTCCGAGAGAGATGACTGCGGACTATAGTCAAGGTAAGTGGTTGGTGATCCATCCCTGTGGGCCCTGGGATTTGTCCTTTTATTGCATAGCGCAGGCTGCTATTTTACGGTACATATGCACGGGATATACCGCAGTGACACGATAGAGAAACGCGCGGACTTATCGCGGATAGTGGATGATAGAAAAGCGGAAGAGCGTGCACCCGATAATCGTGAATGCTGGGAAGGGATCACCCAAATATAGCTTTGACACGAGGGACGTCGGGAATCTGGATATGAATATGCTGCCATCCCCTTAGGTAGAGATACATTGAGAGTTCTGTTTTCCTTGCAGACTTTAGATTTTTGTTTACCGGTATGCTGAAGGGACAATTGAAAAGGGGTTACCTCATCAATATAAGTCAGGAGCAACGATTTATTGTCCTCGAGGATCACCAACCTGTTCATCGACGAGTAGCAGATTGGCACTGATGCCTATTAACATCAAATGGGACTATGATTCATCCAGATTGACAGGGATGAAGTTCATAAACGGTCGGACGTGGGATGGCCCGCCCTAGCTTTATGGGACGAGCCTGGGTGATAAAAATTCCAGGAGTGCATAAGGCGGAAGCCAATACATGCAAGGTATGGTAGAGTATCGATGAATGCTCTAGCTGCCCGTCCCGATTTCGGTGTCCACTTTTCTGGGAGCCCAGCCTCAGATCCAGAAATTCCCCGTCAACAGAGATTGGAGTGGGATCGTGAAGTGGCTTATTGACCATATTATAAGGAGGCTGAAATTCTGCCCAGCCAAGGAGTAAGCGAGGCAACTGCTTTGTTACTTAGCTTGCGTGGCTTGCACCACTGCAGGCATTCCTTACAGATGACGTCTTTCTTTCGTTTTCAATCCCACGGATGTCAGACCCTTCATAATTCGTCCAGCGCACAGTTTTTTTTCCTTCCCTGCACCTTGCCGTCCAAAGTTGTTCTGCATTGTGTATTCTTTTTTTCCTTTTTCCCCCTTGGTAGTAAAGAGTAGAGCACTCTAGGTACATACATGGTGGGAGGAAGTATGTACCATCGAGTGCCAGTACATGAGTGTGAGTGAGTTAGTAAGTGATAGATTGAATGCAAGAGTAGTTGTGGGGACTCTGGGGAGGCAGGTCGGAGAGACATTGGATGATCGGATCATTAGCTTACCTGTCTTTCGTGAGATACAATGACTGGGCAGGTGTCATTAAAGTGGTCCTCGATGATTGGTACCCAAAGATAACGACTGGTAAAGGAGGCCTATGGCTGGGCGATTCTCATCCAGTGCATGTCCAATCTTTGACCGTGCTTGCCCAGGAATACAGCCATACATATTGCACGGCCAACACCACCCGTCTAATCTTTGGATGTCGCAGATGGATTCCATAGCTGCACAAACAAGCATACCTAGGTTTGTATCAGGTCCCAATTTTTGACCACCTGCAGCAGGTTCTAGTAGGTAGGACAGAGTGGGACTCATTGATAAGTGAGGCCATCAGCTACCAGATAAATGTAGGTACACAATGGGACTTGATGGAAGAGGCATAGCCCGAAGAAGAAGATAAACTGCTCCTGCGATTGTCAGTTTTGGCCCCAGTAGGATTCTTAAAATTCTATTATGGACCCTAGGCCTGCAACATACAAAGTACAGTAAACAATTGCCACACCACCACCACCCTGCCATGCCCCTTTTTTGTTTACAGGTTATGTAGTAGGTTGTAGGGGTAGAATGGCATGGTATTGAAGGGGTTTATATTTCGAGGGAGTTGAAAGTTTAAACAATAATTCCGGGGGAATTCTAGTAATACAAGAACAAGATAGAGGAGGCGGGTAGGGATTGTGTTAGCTGGGATTGGTATTTGTAGACTAGACCACAAGAAAAACAAGAATACCCGCCCTATCATTTATCGCACATTCACAGTTGGTCTCTGTTTATGTCGCGCTTCGCTTTTGACGGCACGGAAACTGCGCCCAGCTTGGGTTGTGGAAGTGTGGAAAGAGGAAAGATCCAGCTCCATAGGAAAAAAAAAAGAAAGACTAAGATGTAGCCATGTATTATTATTAGATGCCCACTTGGTGTATTCGTCTCCTACTTCGATCCTTTTATCCCTCGTCGTCTTCTTGTCAATTTACGTTATTCTCAACTTTGTGAGCTGCTCTCATCAGTATTCCCTCCCCTCCTCTACCCCTTCTTCCTCATCTCCTTCTCCTGCCCTCCCTGCTCCCCCTCCTGCTGAGCCTCCCCCCCCGCCTCCTCCCCACGCAATTAGCAGTCCGCCCATTCACGAGGAGCAGCAGCATCTTCAATTTCGCAAAGTCGTGGATTTTCATCGCGGTCTCTCTCCGGCTTTCCGTTGTCCTATTTTCAACCTGGCGGCGTATCAATAGTGAAACGACCATCCCACCAGGGTCAAGTAGCTCCGTTCCACCCTAGCACTCTACATTCGCTATTCTTCTACCTTAGCTCGCCCATACACTCGTTCCTAGTCCTACATTATTAGTCTTGGGGTTCCAACTTTCACTCCCGACGCTCATTCCTCCACCAGCACTGCTCCACAAATTTGTATTTTCATCACCAGTACCTTTGATTATATTCTGCACAGAGATACCTTTCCTTGAGGGGACCGACATTCGTTTGTTACTGGCCTATAGAATCAGAGTTCGAGGAAGACACCAACGACCAAGATAACCGCCAACTCAACGCCCACCAAATCAAAGACACTCCCCACCATCAACAAGTCAAGAGAGATCCCTCATTATCAACTGCCTCACCTCCGTGAAGAATAGTATTTCCTTCCGCTCCACTACAATAATGGCTCCTGCTTCGCCTCGATTACGAATACTCTCGGGTGCGTTGCGCTCCTCTCTTATACCTGTTTTCGGGACCTTTGCTAACAGACTCGCAGTTGGGGGTAATTCTGTTTCTGCATTTCTATCATGGAGGTTGCAGGCCACAAATGCCTGCGATGTTACGCTGGTATGGAAGTCCGGTCATGATACAGTATCGCAATATGGCATATCTTTTAAGTTTGTGCTCGCTCTCTGTTTCGCTGAGCTCTACCGCATGCTGATAAGCTCCCAAGGTCAGGCAAATTCGGTAACGAGAGGTTTAAGCCACATTCCGGTAAGTTCCATGATTCGGTTACTCCCGTACCTATCAGAGTACTAAATGCTTTTGAATTAGTTGTTCGTTCACCAGAAGAAGCTGCTGGCATTCCTGGAGGATTCGACTACGTCCTTCTGTGCGTAAAAGCACTACCGGACCTCTACGACGTAGCCGCGATAATCGATTCAGTAGTCACCCCACAGCACACCTGCATTGTTGTAAACACCACATACAGCCTGGGAATAGAATCATATCTAGAATCGCGATTCCCTACGAATATTGTATTGTCGCTCGTAAATGGGGCCAACATCATCCAGTCAGGCCCAAGCGAGTTTGAACATGCTGGCGCCTCGGAAGTATGGGTTGGCTCAACAAATCAGAACCCCAGCATTCCAATGACCCTCCAACTAGATATGGCAGAGGCCTTGGCTTTGACCCTAGCATCTGGAAATGTTGAATGCCATGTATCGGCAAATATTCGGCAACAACAATGGGAGAAAATGATTGGGTATGTAGTGGTGAATTACTAGTATCTATAGGCTTCATTTTTTTTACTAACTTTATACAAGACCCATAGCCTTTCAGCCGCTAAGTGTACTTCTTGAGACGCCAGTTCACTCAGTGTTGATAGAGAAAGCAGGCGCCAAGAAGCTTATTCCAGACCTAATCGACGAGCTTATTGACATTGCAAAGGCGCAATCATGTTCGTTCTCAGAAGATTTTAAGCAGAAAACTATTGATGAACAACTTCAAGCACCACAAAGCATGATGTACCAGGACTTTGTTGCCCGGAGACCTTTGGAGATTGAAAATTATTTGGGTTCACCAATTAAATTTGCGCAAGCTGCTGGGGTTAAAGCGAGCCACTGCCAGGCATTGTATACAGTTCTTCATCATGTCAATACGGCCAACCAGACAAGGCCTCCTACATCTCCAGCTGCTTCAATCAATGGCCCTAGTCCACGCCCAATGCAGAATGGCCCACAGCAACCCAGACCTCAACAGAACGGCATAAACGGCATGAACAGTCAACGTCGACCACCGCCTCCTTCTATGGGTGGCCCTCCAATGGGTGCAAGGCGTGGTCCGCCACCTCATCAGCCATATGGGCCTAATCCGAATGGACTCCACCCTAACGGGTACCCCCGAAGACCACAAAATGGCAGCAATTCCCCACAACCTCCTTCGAGAACAGTCTCACGCAGGAATTCGTTTGATAATGACCTTGAGGAATTCGGACACCTTGCTCTATACGATGAATTGGCGGATAGCGAGGAGTTACCGCACCAGCAGGATGGAGGAGAACATATTCAACCTAGTCGAAGCCGTGCGCCATCTGCTGGTGAAATGGCACTTCGGGAACGCGAGTTCCAACTGAGACAAAGGGAATTAGCACTTCGAGAACAAGAGATCAGTATGCGCCAGAATGGCCACAGCATCAAACAAGGCAGGAGAAAAAGTCGGGCCAGGAGTGTGTATGATGACGACGACGATGAAGATGATGGCTATGTTGATGCACCACCACCTATGCCACCAATCGACCCCGATAACTTTGATATGATGAGTTTGACGTCACGGAGGACCAGAAGGCTGCCCAGTGCAGGTAACTTGAGAGGGTCTGAGGTCGATGCAGCGGCCATGCCACCGAACAGAACAAGACATTCAATGGCTCCGAGCAGACCTGGTCCTAGAAGTCGGGCGAGTGCCAGGCTCATGAGTGATGTTCCTGGTTTGCACGATTCTCCTTTGGACAGTAGTTTGATGGGCTACTCGTCAAATAGGTACGGCAGCGTTGATAGAAAAATGTTGTCAGATTCATCACGAGCCAATTCTTTGACCGCTCGCGGCTTGGATGAGATTACTGGGATGTCAGTAAGAGGAGGAGGAGGGGCATATCCACCTCATCCAGGCCAGATGCCACCGCCGCCAAATCGACGAACGAGCATGTCACCTGGTGATGTGCGCCCGAACGGCCATGGGCCTCGCCCTGGGTACCCAGCAGATCAGCGAAACTTTAGACACGCGTCAAACACCCACCCTCCAAATGGCCATTTCCCCAATGGTCATCCGCCGCCCAATGGGCCCTTGAGACAACCGAGCCCGAGATTTCCTGAAGGACAAGTGCTACCGCAGCAGGCTGGACAGATTCCTGACGGGGTAAGCCAAACCAATCTCTTAAAGGGATCGACGAGTAACCGCGATCGAAGTACTACGGGTAGTGCTAGCGCTAGTGCAGATAGCGGGGCCAGTGGCCAAACATCGGCGGCAAGCAGTTCGAGTAGCCTTGAGAGGAGGATGGTGACTGCAGTGCGGTAAATATGATGGAAATGTCAGGGTGATTTGCATATCGAAGAGAACGGCGTGGCATGTTCAAAAGTTTGATCAAGGAAAAGAGTTTTTTACGGATTGCGTTTCTCCCCCTTTCCCACGTTTTTTTTTTCTTCGTTACACTTCATTTGCGTCTTTTTAGTCAATTTTTCAATTTCTGCTACCGTTCTGTTTCCTTAACTTCATTTTTCAAGATCATTAGTATTGGAGTAAAGGGAAACAGGAAGGGTGCAGGTGGGGACTGATAGACTGGAATCCACACTTGCTAACAGCTTCCGTACATACGCTTCGCTTTTTGTTCAGTTTTCTTCTTCTGGGTCGGGTATAATATCACGGTGTCATTGCAGGTGTCATCTTCTCTGGATCTTCTCGAGGCTTATTTTTTTATTATTCTATTTTCGAACTCCAGATTGCTTTTGCGCTGATATCTCTGTATTAACTTTGCGTTCTAAATGTCTTTCTTCTCATGCTTTATTTCTTTTTCGTTTTAACTAAGTAACGAGGATAAGGATTTGGGTTCCTTTTTTCTTTCTGCCTGGTGCTTGGCTTGGGGTTTGGGAGGGGGTTAAAAGCTGTTGAATTGGATCGTTGAGCAGGAAATACTCAATGTTCTGGCGCGTACGATACCTCAGCTACGACTCATGTATTTTTGTTGGGGTTGTTATAAAAACGCTGAAAGGAAGCGGGGTGCCATAGGGCGTCTTCTTTTTTTGCTACACACTCATTATTGTTTCTATCATTCCATTACTTTTTCTTTTTGTCAATTTTGCCCCACCTTTCACGATTTTCTTCCTGTTCAGCATATACGTTCTTCTCGTCTTCATCTCTCATTCAAGCATACACGGGCACATTTGCCTTCTGGACATGAAAGCTCATCCCTCTTGCCTTTCTCTTTTTTAATACCTCGGTGTCTTCGTTATTAGGTAGTATTTAGTCACTCTAAGACCTATGCTGAGCATGAAAGTTCCAGCTGTGGGCATCGCACTATATTAATCAAGGATATTAATCCAGCATTATCTCCCCCATCATTACCTATTATAGATGTAGTCAATGATTTTCTTTGGTCTGTTGATAGTTGTTTATATTGGGGTGGATATGTCATTTATGGGAGATGTAGGACATCATCTCGTTTTCTTACCTTTCCTTTCTTCCTACCTTTCTTTTTTATTTTCTCAATGGCCCCAGTTTGTTTTTAGATAGGATACCTACCTGATGGACAGGTGTAAATAGATTTCATGAAACTTCCCCGCAGACCGATGGGCTTGCAGGTCAGCTCAAATCCCGCGCATAATACATGTATTAAATACACAGGGCAGAAGTCTTGAAACAGGGGAGGAGGAGAAGGAGCATGTGTCGTGGCATTTCCTCAGTCAGTACGTACAACGCGGCCTTGTTGCCGCACTGGGAGTGGTAGGTGATTCCGACGCGAATTGGAGTTCCCTTACTTTACGAGTAGCTACATGGCTAGCTGGATAGGGCATGGCCGTGTCAAGTCTTCTAAACAACACGCGTATCGATATCTAGGAGCAGAGAGAGTACTACGATGCTAATAATACTAGCATACATGTGCTTAGATTACCTACATGTACCTACTTGACTTTAGTAGAGTACATGTAAGTATTCAAGTTCTTGGTAGGTACATGTAGTTCTTGAAAATTACAATTATGCAGCGGTGCCATGATCATGTATCCTTGCTACATCTTCTGTTACATCGACAGTATCCTTTGAATCCGGTTCCTCAGCCTTGTGAGGAACAAGGCCTTCCGTTGTATCTATCTCCATCTGCTGCTGCTCTTGATCCCCACGATTGTTCTTGGCCTCTCCACCAATAACTATATCCGGCCTCTCACTCCACAGTTTCCAGTCCTTCTTCTTCTTGGTTTCCATACCAACAGGGAACCGCTTTACTGCGCCACAACCCTTGCATTCGACGACAAGAACGTCTGCCCATGGTTTGCGTCCATTATGGCTGTCGTTCACAATGCTATGTGTACTTGTGGCGCCAGGGATCAAAAGAGCATCGCACCGCTTGCAGATAGTGCGCTTAACAGCTGGTGAGATACGCAGTACTGATTTTTTTGCGACTGCGCGAGCATTTGAGAGGTAGAAGCGAGAGAGAGAGGTGTTGGCGCTGGAAGGGCCAGTGCCAGGACTGGAAGGAGGAGGATGAGGAGTAGTAGTAGTAGTATCAGAGACCTGGCTATAGGAGAGAAGTTGTGCGGACTGATAGAGGAAGTTTATTCGAGCGTAAATGTGAGGATTCGGAGCGTTCGGCTTGCTGGGCTGTCGGGCTTTGGCTTTTGCCATTGTGTCGAGTATTGAAGTTTGAGGTTTGCATGTAACAGCTCTACCTAGTATCTGCCAGCTTTAGTCCAGGGTTTGGTGGGACCTTGTTCAAGAGGAGTACATCGACAATTACCAAAATATGTACTGGCCTATAACTAAGTAAAAGGTCTCATGGAAAGAACTTGCTCTGTACGGGATCAAGCTTTCCGTCGTACAGTTCAAGTCTGGTTGAGGCTCTGGTGATTCTGTGCTGAGTAATCATACCAGGGTTAGGGGATGCCAGCACAGGATGTTTTATTGACTGCGTCAGATTCCTACTTTTGCCTCTCTTCTTCTTTTCCTCCACTCGTTCGCTCTCCTCTTCACACGTAGTCTCACAGCCCATCAACTGAAGTCCCGTTAACCCTCGCTAGACTCGTTGCTGATCTGTTCTTTCCTAAAGCGGTCTTTCCGTTGTTCTGCATTGTTGAGCTGAGCCTTCTTCTCGCTCACTCCCTCTCCTTCCCTTCCTCCCTTCCTTCCTTCTCTTCTACCTCAACACCTTTCACCCCCATCTTCATTCAACATCTCATCCATCTCAGATTTAACCAACCGTATACACTTTCTGTAACCGACTTAATCAATTCGATCAATCAACATGTCTGGCGAGGAAGATCTTATCGACTACTCTGACGACGAGGGTCTTGATACTAAAGACGACGCAGCCACGACCGCCGTCAGTGGTGATGTTGCTGCTAAAAAATCAGATGCGACTGCTTCCGCAGCCGCTGGAGCCGGAGCCACTGCTGCCGACAAGAAGGGTTCTTATGTCGGAATTCATTCGACTGGTTTCCGAGATTTCCTTCTCAAGCCCGAACTACTCAGAGCTATCGTCGACTGCGGTTTCGAACATCCGTCCGAGGGTCAGTTCTTTCTCCTCCCTAATTGAAAAAGAAATATATCCTCTCTTGTCATCTCTGTCCTCAATCTACGCGTCTTATCGTCGTCTTGGGTGGTCTCGTCATCTATCATCTCCGTGGTCGTTCTTCCGTCTCGCTTAGGCCACTCAGGCGCTGGAGTTCAAGGCAAAACATCAAAGAAACTCGTTTTCTCGATGTATGGCTTCTGGTTGCAAGTATTGCAAAAAAAAAAAAAAAAAGTATGTTTCTCCTGGAAGGAAGCCCAACGACATCGTCACGTCATCATTGCCTTTTCAATTTGACTCTGCTTGGTGTATCGCGACGATCGAGGGTGGGAAGCATGGAGAGAACATGAAAGAGGGGGAAATTTTTCAATCCGCAGAAGGCCGGTATATGAGCGAGACGCGGAGACGGACAAGATAGATTGATAGACAGACGTGGCTACCCATACGCACACATGCGCGACTTTGCTTGATCCCAATCATCATTGTTTACAAAAATCGGTCGAGAATGCGCGAGTTAACATAAACATTCGGTTCCTTCCTACAGTCCAGCAAGTCTGCATTCCTCAATCGATTCTCGGAACAGACGTTCTTTGCCAGGCCAAATCCGGTCTTGGTAAGACTGCGGTCTTCGTCCTCACGACTCTTCAACAAGTCGACCCTGTCCCCGGCGAGGTCTCAGTCCTGGTCATGTGCCACACCCGTGAATTAGCCTACCAGATCAAGAACGAGTACGCGCGTTTCAGCAAATACATGCCTGATGTCCGCACTGCAGTCTTCTATGGTGGTACCCCAATGCAAAAGGACGTGGAGGTATTGAAGAACAAGGACCAGCACCCCCACATCATTGTCGCGACCCCCGGTCGGTTGAACGCGTTGGTTCGTGACAAGCACCTGAGGCTAGGAAGCGTCAAGGTATTTGTGTTGGATGAGTGCGACAAAATGTTGGAGCAGATTGGTATGTTTGATTTAGATACGCCCTTAATCTTCCATTCATTTACACTAGCTGACTTGATCAAGACATGCGCCGCGATGTGCAGGAAATCTTCCGTGCAACCCCTCAGCAGAAGCAAGTTATGATGTTTTCTGCCACTCTTTCACAGGAAATCCGCCCGATTTGCAAGAAGTTTATGCAGTCTCCTCTCGAAATTTATGTAGACGACGAGACCAAACTCACCTTACACGGTCTTCAGCAGTACTACGTGAAGCTTGATGAAAAGGAGAAGAATAGGAAGCTAAATGAATTATTGGACCAGCTCGAGTTTAACCAAGTTATCATCTTTGTCAAGAGTACCCTCAGAGCAAACGAGCTCAACAGACTATTGACGGAGTGCAACTTTCCCAGCATTGCTGTACACAGTGGAATGGCCCAGGAAGATCGGTATATATATCCTGGTTTCGCTGGCATTGATCGATGCTAATATATGATTATTCAGTATTGCACGATACAAGCAATTCAAAGAGTTCAATAAGCGAATTTGCGTCGCTACAGATGTCTTTGGTCGTGGTATTGATATTGAACGTATCAACCTTGCCATCAACTACGATCTTCCATCCGACCCCGACTCTTACTTGCATCGTGTTGGTCGTGCCGGTCGTTTCGGAACCAAGGGTTTGAGTATCTCCTTTGTGAGCTCAAAGGAAGACGCCGAGGTCCTTGACAAAATTATGGAAAGGTTCGAAGTCAGCTTGGACCCATTCCCAGAGGGCGGAATTGATGCCAGCTCGTAAGTACTCCTTCGAGGAAGAATTTCTTAAATTCTTGCGCTGATTATATTATACCATAGTTACATGAACACTTAAATGGTGAGATCGATTTTTATACGATTTTGCATGTGTTCGAGTAAGCCTTTTGGAACCTGGGAGGGGTTTAAAAGTTTATCGGGGAAGCGATGATATTCGTTGGGTAATGAAATATGGATATCCTCGGGGGAAAAAAAATTCAAAACCTGCGAAGTAAAACTCTTTTCAAACTATTATCAGCCTGGGAAAGAAGAGATTCTGGTTGGGAGCAAGAGGGGTTCTTGCTTGATGAATAACTTCTTTTTTCATGGTTCTGGGGGAAAGGGTGGCGCTTCTTATTTTTTTTTTTTTTTTCGTTTTCTGTTGTGCTCTTTTTGTCTTTTTCTACTCTCCTCCCGGGGGTTATCTTCAATAGTTATGTTTTTGTCTTCTTGCTACGAAATATGATAAGGTCTATGCGACGCAACGAATCTCCACATTTCTTTCTATGGGTGCTAGTGCCAAGTCTTCGAAAAGTGACGAATGATATCTGGTGATGGGTTATGGAGCTAGTCAGTTACCCACCCCATACTTTGTTCCATCCCTCTGCACCTAAAAACTCTGCTAAAGACCCGCTACATCATCCGTTTCCCACAAGTGCTTTTAACTAGCTATCCCTTCGAACATCCATAATGACGGACTTTTTGCTCTATGTTGTCATCAACCCCAACATGTTGAAGGTGTCTGAGGAGCTTCCACCACCCTTCAAAGGTCGTAATGTAGGACCGTATGTATTCTCACCATCCTTTCCATTAAAACATTGATTGGCTGGTTGACTGAGGATGAACAGACCACATCAGGGATTAGTTGTCGATGTGCAGAAAGTCAAAGACTTGATTGATGCCGGAGCAACTGCAATCAAATTGCGTGGAGATTCCGCCATCGACACGAGCGATTACACAAAGCTTGCCAAAGGAATTCATGAGGTTACAAAGAAGTATAATATCCCATTGATCATCCATGATCGTGTTGACATTGCGATGGCATCAGGAGTTGATGGGGTGGAAGTGGGAAAAGGATGCCTTGGTAAGTTATCCGCTGCGTCTGCAACGAAGTCACGCTGAGTAGAATATCAGACTACATGAGTACCAGGAAGATCATGGGGCCTGAAAAATTGATCGGTGTGTCGATTACCAATAAACGTCAAGCCCATCTTGCGTCGAAAGTTCAAACGGCGTACCAAGTCATTGGGCCTGTATATGAGCCTCTACTTGCAGTGGAGTCTCTTCAAGTGAGCCCGCTGGGGGCTGCTGGGGCCAGGGATATATTGAGTCATACTGTAGGCCTCGATCCGCAAATACAGTTTTTGCTCGCAGGAGGGATTACACCGGAAAACGTTCGGCGGGTCATAAGCCAGTCAAGAGTGCCGCTCAAACAGGCCGATGGTATTGTGTTGGGATATGACCCTGAGTGAGTAATTCAGATTTGGTTTTTACAGTTATGGCGCTGACGGCGAGAAAGTTTGGGCCATGTGACAATGGTAGCTAGAATCTTGGAAACCAAAAATCTTATCAACGCCATGCAGAAGAGCCTTGAAGAGGACTTGGCTAGCTGCGCTATTGGTGCTACTGTTGGTTCTGGAGACTCTGTATTCCTGGACACAAAGAAACTACCTACTGCTAAGGTGTCTTCTGTCATTGCAAGTATCTCCAAGCATCGCCCTTCATTCAGGTGCATCGTCCCTGAAGAGAGCAAAGATATAACTAAGGGAGTAAGCGCTGTAATGTGAGTTTAATCACTATAGCATGTTGGACTGTTTTTCTCAAAAACTGATCAATTATTCCTGCAATCTAGTGGATCGGTCCCGGAGTACTCTCTCGTATTTGAAGAAATGAAATATCGTTGCGATAACCTTCAACAGCTTCAGAGCTGTCTTATCAGCATGGGAACAGCTTCAACCGTGGGTTATATTGTTGCACTTAAACTTTATAACCTTAAAGCTTTCCCCGTTATTCTTGAGCCCAAAATCGATAGTATCAATGTCCACAGAAGCGCAGCTGCAGAGAGCTTACTGGCAGCTGGCAACTTTGCTCTGATTAAGGGAACTGTCGAAGAGATCCTTCATCTCTCGGACATGTGCAAAAACAATGTTCAGAAGACTGGAAATATCGAACAAGAAAACTTGGTCGGCATTGTTTCGAAGGAATGCAAGGTACTCGCATTACGGGAGAATTGTGCTGTACTTTCTACAGGGCGTGTGTATGTCCTTTCAGATGGCATTCGTACTATTCACATCAAAAATGGTTCACATCTCTTGAATACAGTCGTAAGTTTTATGAAAATCCCATGGTTTTAATTATGGATTTATTGACAGTTCTGACAGGGAAATGACGCTTTGGGTCCTATTTTGGCCGCCTGTCTCGCCGTTGAGGCGAACGACCCATTCGTTGCTATTCTTTCCGGTCTTCTCTTGTTCACTATTGCCAGTGATCAGGCAGCCACTAATGTTAATACAAAAGGCCCAGGAACCTTCATACCTGCGTTGATTGATGAAATCTGGAAGCTATCGCAGCTGTCACTCAATGGGGATGACAGCTGGGCCGAGAAGGCTGTCTATGAGAGGTTTGAGTAGATATTTCTTGTCATAGTATCGAAGAGGCATTAATGTTGGGGGTGCTGTTTCTCTGGGTAAATCTGGTAAGTGATTTGCTGAGTTCTGTTTGCTGAGTATCTTCCACGCCTCGGAGATCAAAAAATAAAATTAGCTGCAATAAATTCGTTTAGATGGGGCCCAATATCTTGTTCAATGCGAAGAACTATCGCCTGTATGGAATATAGGGAAGAAAAAAACTTGGCTTAAAATCTAGCAGTGACTGGTATTCCCCAAGTGTGATAAGGCATAAGCTACTGAATGCGGGAACTCCTGTGGACTGATCAATTGGGAAACACTCTCGTCAAGTCTTTAGATTGGTGGCCTGAATCCACCACAACTTCTCTGCATACAAGTCTTGAATCAATAGCAGAAGTGACTAGAACGTACATGTAGACACATAATACGCCATTCGCCGAATTGAAAAACGACCTTTATTGTAAGCCCCCCATTATCGGAAGTTGTGTGCGCGTTGGAGGCTCAAGTAAACCCTCCTAATCACACAATAAAGTACTCTTCCGCTGCTCTAGCCTATTATTCGGCCGCAGGAATATTGAAGAGCGGTCCAGAGTTCTTAGTATCCATCAGCCGCCGGGAAGTCAGCATATTTACAAGCAGAGGGGTTATCCATCACTTAGGTGGAGTTGTTGGAGCTCCTTGGTGTCTCTGAAGTGTATTAGAGGGCGTCCTCCGCTCATAGCACCTTTCCACTCGAGCTCCGGTGATACCGTTCCTGTGACAGGCTGTGCTAGCCATCCGAGTTGAAGGTGGAGTTGGAGACCATCTATGCGTGTGTCTCAAATTGTGAAAAAATCGCTCAAGATGGATCGCCGAGAGATGACGACCCTCCGCCCCCTTGTTTCCCAGAGAATGGGGCGGGATCGGGCTGTGTGGTTCTAGTTGTTGTGGGCAGGAGAGGAGGTAACTTCAGTTGTGTCTGAGCCGGGAAAAATAATTAGAGCCGTGGAATGTATCATGGATTGGGAAGAGTATTGCAGATGGAGAGTATACCGCCCGTCAACTTAAGATATGCTTAATATATACTAGGCGTGGTACATGGTCATGATAGATTGTTATGGGTTCAATCCCGGGGGCGGGAGTCTATAGATCTATACTGGAGTGTATGTGTAATAAATGGCACTAACTCCCCCGAAAAGCATACACTTTCAGCAAGACCTTTTCGCAAATTTATTTTCAAACTCATTGCCATTTTCTGGAGCTTGGTGGCCCTCCTCCAGCCTCGTGGGCTAGGTGTGATATCGAGCGGATCTCTGGGCTGGCCATAATATGATTGCAGCTTGAACTATCTTGGCTTCTCGCTCATTATTTGGTCTCCCCCCCCCTCCCCCATGGTCAGGGCCGGATGTAGGATTAAGATTTAACGAAACCTTTTCAGACAATATTCTTTTTATAGTATAGCAGATACAGTTACATAGTAGTAGTGGAGGGGTTCGTCAAGGTTACCGGCACTCGAGAGTTGTCGCGAGTGATATCTGGTGATGCAGCTAGGTCTATCGTTATCTAGACCAGCCTAAGGAATCTTCGATAGGAAGAGATGTCATCGGTTACGCTCGTTTACAACCTTCCTACTGCGTTTATGGTTGATGAGTTAAGCTGTTTATACGCCCGTCTCTGTTTTGTCGAGCCCTCTCGATGGCCGGAACCTCCAGTCGGGCTATACGTGCTAATGCTAGCAAAAAAGGATTAAGAGGGCGCTCAGACAGGCACCAGTACACTCATGGTTTAAATGGTCGAGGGGTACTGTAGTCAGCCTAGCGGAGCCACCATGTAGACCTTTAGGAGGTCCTGCGCCCGATTCACATCAATGCAGTGGAGCTGGTCATGTGGGATACCGTAGCTGGGTCCCGCATTGTGGCCTTTTTTTGTAAAACGTCTGTCCGCATCCCCTGGTTACATGTATGCATATAGTCGACTGCTGTGGTTGATAACTGGCTACTAATGCCTCATAAGAATAGTTGTACTATGTAACTACTAAGTAGCTGGGGTTGTTCTTGTTATCGAAAAACATATCATGAGAACACCCATCCCCACATCTATGTGCACTTGTAGACCTGGCGATTTGCCGCTGGGTCTACATGTGGTATCCTATAGAGAAGGGGTTGGGGGGGGGGGGGGCGTCTAAACGCCCGTGCTGTGCGGAGCTGGTATGTGACTACAAGGTGATTTCTGACTGACTGGACGTATACTGTACTATACTGACCAACTATATTGGGGCCGGTGCGCTTTCTCAGAAGTATATAGGCTGATCGTGGAGCAAGCTGTTCGCCCCCCCCCCCCCCCCCCCCCAACCTTTTCCTGGAGAGATAATTGGCGGCCGTTCATTTACGTTCGTCGGTGTGATTTTTTCTTTTTCTCCAAGGGGGGGTAGAATAAGAAGCTGCGGTTAGTGTCACGCCGATGGTTGGGCGAAAAGCTAGAGAGGCGGTACGCGCGCGGTTGTAGGTAGGCCGCGGGCTTGGTCACCGGATATCACTCGCTCGCTCGCTGGTCGGGATGCGGGAACGGGCACATATCGTAAGCTGTAGGGCCCCGGGGGGAAGCTGGGAGTGGGATCGGCTGTTTCTACGGCAGCATGACTGTCAAGAGCGAAAGGTTCTTAAGATTTGGGGGGGGGGGGAGGGTTACTTGCGTATGATGGGTATTTACAGCTAGTTATCCAAGTTGGTAAGAACATACCTGGGAGCGGGAGGGCCCGGTGGGAAGGAAGTGTTGCCCTGTGTTATTGCCTGCCCTTATTTGTTCTGTATTCCGGAGCTGGGTTGTTTGCTATGAGCGTCGGTTTGGTTGGCGGTCTGGAGATGGGGGGGGGGGGTTATCGAGGTGGGAGTGGGGTGGGCATGGCTCTTGAATACCCGGGGGGGTCTGGGGGGTTCGTTTTCCGCTCCCTTTGTTGTGGATTGGCTGTGGCCGAAGATAGTACAGTATGTGACCGCGGCGGCCAGCCTCGACGGGGCGGCTTTGTCGACTTATACGGAGGAGTACTGGAACTTTGCTGTGTATGTTTTTTGTAACGCATTAATTCTTTCTTGCACTGAAAGAAAAAAAAAAAAGATGAAGGGTGGGGCCGGGGGAGGAAACTCACCTGCGGGAGAATTAAAAAAAACGAACAGGAGAAGCGGAGTAGGAGACATCCATGCGAGTGGAGGCCGTCAAATGGGGGGTGACGAGAGAGAGGGAGAGAGCTAATCACAATTCCTCTACGCGCCGCGCGGGGGGGGGGGGGGGGGGAGGAGGTGCATGGGGCAGGCCATGCATGATATATGTACGCCGAGGACCTTTTTGTAAAAATTTATTGGCTCATTTTTTTTCCCGGGGCTTATATTGGGACCCTCTAGCTCTCCTCGTCGATTCCGGGGATGGGAGCACCTGCTGTGTATGATAAATCGGAGATGAATTGCCGTGAAGAAGTATACTCCTGATCAGCAAGTACTTTTTGTTTTGCCATTAATTTTTCTTGAGCTTATTGTGCCCCTCCTCCCCGGCCAGTGGGTTGGGTGTGGATGTCGGTCGGATCGAAGCAGCTTAGGCTCAGGAACTGATAGGGGGTCACATCACATGTACAAGGGAGAGAGAAGATAGGGCATGGGCTGGCACGAGGCGTGTAGGTGGAGGTGGACTCTGGCTGGAGAGTTTCTTTGTGGCTGCTTGGACCGTCAAGGCGAGGCGGGCGGATAATCGATGCTGCGGTGGTTGATCTGGGTCATGGGCTATCACTCGGTACAGGTGTTGCTTGCCGCAGCAACGAATTCAAGGCCATAAAATAAGAGCGACCACCGGCACAAAGTAAAGAATTAACAAGCATTAAATACACGCAAAGAGCACACATTTTACTATATACGACAACACACGAGCCCAATCAACAACAAGAAGAAAACGCTTTTAATTAAATATCCACACCCCCCCCACCCACCTCCCTCTAAAAGTCCACATCCACCTTCTTCGCCCCCTTCCCCCCCTCCTCCTCCTCCATCGGCGGCAGCGAATACGGCCCAATCTCAAACCTCCTCCTGGTCACCACAAACGCCAGATCCTCACCCCTGCCCACCGCGCCCCCCACGCCCCCGCCCTTCTCCCCCACAACCGGCACCTTCCACACCCTCACCAAGCCCTGCGGCGACCCCTCCTCCTTCGCAGAGTGCCCGAACGGCGTCAGCTCAACAACGCAGTCGGCCAGCACCTCGGCCCAGCGCACGAGCCCGCTGGCGCGCGGGTACAGCTCGAGCGGCAGGCTGGCCATGAGTGTGAGGGCCGGGTGGGAGCGCAGGAGCGCGCGCAGGGCGTGCAGGAAGGGGAGGAGGTGGGAGGGGGTGGCGGCGGAGGGGGGGTAGAGGAGTGGGGAGAGGAGGGAGGGGAGGAGGATGCGGTGGGGGTGTGGGGAGTGGGTGGTGATGGCGGTGGTGAGCTGCGTGAGGATGTGGGCGAAGGGGGTGGCGCTGGTGGGGGGTGGTGGGGGGATGAAGGCGAGTTTGGAGGTGGGCGGGAGGGTGAGGCGCTTGGTGAGGTCGTAGGTGTGGCAGAAGGGGGTGGCGGGGGCGGTGGTGTCGGCGGGGGTTGTGGTGCTGCTGCCGGCGGGGGGTGGTGGTGCTAATTAGTTAGGTAGTTAGTATATATAGCTATAGCTGTAGAAACCAAACACAACTGATATCCCAGTGACACCATACCCCGACTGCCCCCAATCCCACTCCCAAACCCCCCCAGCCTCTCATACCTCCACGCAATCTTCATCTTCCCACTCCCCTTCTCCGCACCCCCACTTCCCGTCTCATCCCCCACCTCCTCCGCGCCCGTCACCGCCGGCAGATCCCTCACCCACGCCTCCGGCGCACCCACCACCGTGACCGCATGGCCCTGCACAATCCCCTCCGCCGCATAGTACCGCAGCAGCGCGCCGCCAAAGTCCGTCGTGCCCGGCTCCTCAATGAGCACGGAGCATCCCAGCGGCAGGCCGGCGTGGCCGGCGAGCAGCGCGTCGAGCGAGGGCGTGCCCGTGGAGGTCGTGGGCTGGCCGTTGATGGGCGAGGGGCGGATGCCCGGGGTGGGCGGCTTGGGGGCGGTGGCGGCGGGGGGCGTGGGCGTGGGCGTGGGCGTGTGTGGGGAGGGGCCGCGGTTGATGACGATGTTGCGTTTGCGGAAACTCATGGTTGGGGGGTGATGATTGCTTGGTGGGATAGTCGGTGGTTGGTGTTGATGTTGATGTTGGTGTTGGTGGGGCTTTTGAGAGAGTTGTGCGGCTCTGTGGTGGGGGGTGCTGGGAGTAGCTGGTTGTGGTTAGCAGCTGCCTCGCTCAACTCACTTCAACTCCAACTCTCACTCACTCTCTCTACATCCCACAACCCTACCAAACATCCACTCCCGACCCACAATCCACCCACCATGTCGTAAGCCACCCCCACCCCCCCTCCCCTTCCCCCAGCACACCCACCACTAACCCCCCCCCCCCCCCCCCTCGCAGCGCCGACTCGCTCCTCCTCGACTCCACCTTCACCATCACGGCCATCGACCAGAAGAAGTACGACCGCGTCGCGCGCGTCTTCGGCGAGCGCGAGGACCTCAAGTTCACGCTCGACATCCACAGCGAGCTGTACCCGCTCGCGGCCGGCGAGACCATCCAGCTGTCGATCGCGTCCACGCTCTCGCTCGACGGCTCGAAGGACGACAGCGCCAACAGCAAGACGGGGTGGCGCGAGACGCGCTCGGGCGAGCTGACGCTGGCCGATACGTATGATTATGTCATGTATGGGAAGGTGTACCGCTTTGAGGAGGGGAATGGCGAGTTTATGTAAGTTGTTCCTGGGGGGGGGCGGGGGGGCGTGGGAGGGATGGGAGCTGACGAGGAGTAGAAAGGTGTATGCGTCGTTTGGGGGGCTGTTGCTGCATATTGAGGGCCCGCATAAGAGGTTGAGCTCGCTGAGGCATGAGTATATCTACCTCCTCATCAAGAAATAGAGGAGTGATAAGTGGGTGGTGGGTGGGTACTGTGGAGGAGCGGTGGTGCCGGTTTAATCTTTTAGGAAAAATTGTTAGATAGTTACCAGATCCCGCTATACGCAATTCAAAGGGGGAATAAAAATGGCGTTCTGTTTTACTGCGTGCTTTCTTTGGTATATGGTGACTGCTATGTATGGACAGAGATGCGTTTATGATTCGGGACGTAGTAGTGGTGATGTAGCTACAATGGACGTTATACGGCCCGGTGGTCATTGACTCTAACCAAGTAAACTGCAATAGCGAAAGGGGCTCGTTGTAGTAGTAATATAGGATCCAATTGATCATTGGCTCCAAGTAATAACGAAAGGGGGCTAGTGCAGCACGGCAATTAGTAGCAAACGTACATGCAGGCTAGCATTCCCAACGGAGCCAGAGCGCAGTACTAATACAATCCTGCTGCTTCAGGGCCTCCTTTCGTACTTGCACTCCCTCTTCTAATACTACATGTATCTACTAATCTTGGTGATGATCATCCAGCGTGATGGTCAATTGCAACAATTCATTGGCGTGAGTGTATTCCTACCAAACACAAAGGTTTGCACACAACAATAACGATACCCTCAACGATGAGAAAAGCCAACTTAAGAACCCCCCCCCCCCCCCCAACCAAGAACCCAGCTGTCGACACAACACATACCCCAGACCTACCAAGTCGGGAACTCGAACCGCCTGTGGATGCGCGAGCAGATCTCGATATAGTGCGGCTCGTTCTCGGGCGTGATGATGCCGTGGCGGATGAAGAAGTCGAGCAGGACTACACAAACCACACACACATTAGCAGTAGCTCCACCCCAATTGAAATCTAACAAACCCTCATCAGAGAGGAGGAAAGAGTCCTACGCACCAATCGCACAATTCGGCTTAAAGCTCCCCTTGGCCAGCTCCTCCTTCACCTGTCCACCGTCAGCACCATCCCCCCCACCCCCAAAGGGGCAAAACTCACCTCCTCCACCCCCAACAGCCGAAACCCCACCACCTCATCATCCCCCGGCCTCGGCACCACCCCCTCCCCCACCTCCATATCCCACACAAACTGCACCTCCGGCTGCAACAAGCCCTCCTCGCCGCCCGCACTCTTGTGCCGCTCATAAAAATACGACACGCACCCCACACTCCTCGCACACCCCTCCACCAGCTCCCGCCCAAAGCTCGCCTCCTCGCCGCTCTCCTTCACCAGCGTCTCCAGCACGCCCATCCCCGCCGCGATCCCGCCGGCCACCGTGTTGTCCAGCATGCCGCCATACGTCGGCTTCGCCGGGTTCCTGGTCGGCACCCAGATGCGCAGCGGCGACGGGGCGAAGGCGGTCATGTGCACACCGTACGTGACGACGCCGAAGAGCGCGCAGGCGCTGCGCTCCATGGCCAGGTAGAGGGTTCCGGGCGGCGAGTAGACGGCGTAGTCCTCGTTGCGCCAGCCGCGCAGGACGGCGAAGGTGTTGGCGGACCGCCAGGAGGTGAGGGTCTTGAGCATGTTTGACGAGCGCTCGGCGGGGGTGGACCCGTGCAGGGTGACGGTGGCGCCGGTGATGGTCCAGTGGGGGCCCGAGAGGGCGGTGTTGGCGAGGGCGCTGACGACGGGGGGGAGGAGGTAGCCGAGCGGGTGCGTGGCGTGGGTGAAGAGGGTGAGGGTGGAGAGGCGCTCGGCGTGGAGGGCGGGGTGCACGGTGGGGGAGGGGAAGCTGTGGGGGGGGGGGGGGGGTCAGTATATATAATTGAGAGGGGGGTGGGGGAGAGATTTGGGGGAGGGGCGGTACCTGTCGACGGTGTTGACGAGATCGAGGTTTGAGTAGCGTTTTGTGGACGGCATTGTGGTTTTGGTGCCTTATTTGTTGTAAATAGTGAGGTTTTGGTGGTGGATATAAAAGGTTGGGTGTTGCTGTCAATCATCAATCAACCCACTTTATCAGCCAGCAGTGACGTCTTATCGATAAGCAATGATCAACCCCCCACCCGAGCATCCCCGCCCCCACTCACTCACCACCCACTCACCACCAATACCAACACCAAAACACCCCCAATCCCACACCAAAACACCCCCATTCCCACCCCACAAACACCCACAATGGCGTCCACCACCACGCTCAAAGTCGCCCTCCTAATCGTCTCCACCACCGCCTCGCGCGACCCCAGCACCGACGCCTCGGGCCAGCTGCTGCGCGACCTCTTCGCCGCCAGCACCACCCCCGCCCTCGCCTGGGAGGTGGCCGAGACGCTCATCGTCCCCGACGACACGCAGGCCATCCAGGACGCGGTGGTGCGCTGGGCGGATGTCGAGAAGCTCAATCTGGTGGTTACGACCGGGGGCACGGGCTTTGCGATATCGGATGGCACGCCTGAGGCCGTGAGGCCGCTGCTGGGGAAGGAGGCGCCGGGGTTGGTGTGAGTTGGTTCTTTGTTTTTGTTCTTTGGGTTTGGGGGGGGGGGGGGAGGGAATTGGGACTGACGGTGGGGGTGAATGGTAGGCATGCGATGCTGTCGACGTCGTTGAAGATTACGCCTTGTAGGTTTCTCTAAGGATGATGGTCTTTATATACTCGGTTTCAACATGTTGGATTTCTACATACTGGATTTCTATATATCCACTATTTCTACACCTACGATCCTTATATACCTACGATTCCTACATATCCATATGCCTATATCTCCACGACCTCCCTGTATTCCTCTATACACCTCTATATCCATCTACAAAGCCACAAAACACAGCTAACCCCCCCCCCTCCAGTCGCCATGATGGCCCGCCCCGTCGCCGGCGTCCGCGCCCACACCCTCATCATAACGCTCCCAGGCTCGCCCAAAGGCGCCAAAGAGAACCTCTCCTGCCTCCTCCCGCTCCTCCCGCACGCCTGCATCCAATGCAGCGGCCTCACCAGCTCCCGCGCCCTGCACTCCGGCGGCACCCCCGCGCTCGAAGCCCGCTCCGGCCTCCCCCCAGCACCCACACCCTCCACCTCCACACCCTCCACACCGCACACCCACCATCACCACCACCACCACCACCACGACCACCCGACCCCGCGCGCCCACACCGCAAACACCCTCAACGGCCCCGTCACCTCCCGCCACCGCACCTCGCCCTACCCCCTCCTCACCGTCGCCGCCGCCACAGCGCTCATCGCGCGGGAAACAGCCCTCACCGACATCGTCGCGCACCCGGTGGGCCCCAGTCTCGTCGGCCACATCCTCGCCGAAGACGTAACCGCCCCGCACCCCATCCCCGCCTTCCGCGCCAGCATCGTCGACGGCTACGCCATAGTCCACACCGACGGCCCGGGCGTCTACCCCGTCGTCTCCGTCTCCCACGCCTCCCCCTCCCCCACCGCCCCCGCCACCCCCCTGCAGCCCGGCCAAATAGCGCGCATCACAACCGGCGCGCCAGTGCCCGATGGTGCCACGGCCGTCGTCATGGTCGAAGACACAGAGCTCACCCGCAGCACAGCCGACAGCGCCGAGGAGCTCGAAGTGCGCATCCTCGCCTCTGGCCTCCGCGCCGGCGAGAACATCCGCGAGATCGGCAGCGACGTGGCGCCCGGCACCGTGGTGCTCCACCGCGGCGACCCCATCACCGCCGTCGGCGGCGAGATCGGGCTCCTAGCGTCCATCGGCCGCGCATCGGTGCAGGTGCGCCGCAAGCCCGTGGTAGCGGTGCTGAGCACGGGCGACGAGGTGGTAGCGCACGACCGCGAGGGGCCGCTGCGCGCTGGCGAGATCCGCGATTCGAATCGGCCGGCGCTGTTGAGCGCTGTTGCGGCGTCGGGGTTTGCGACGGTGGACCTGGGGGTTGCGGCGGACGCGGCGGGCGCGCTGGAGGGGGTGTTGCGGGAGGGGCTGGCGCGGGCCGCTGTGGATGTGCTGGTGACGACGGGGGGCGTGTCGATGGGCGAGATGGACCTGCTGAAGCCGACGGTTGAGCAGGCGCTCGGCGGGACGGTCCATTTCGGGCGGGTGGCGATGAAGCCGGGGAAGCCGACGACGTTCGCCACCGTGCCTGTGCCCGTGCCTGTGCCCGTGCCCGCCGGAGAGGAGGGGCAAGGGGGGCAGCAGCAGCAGCAGCAGCAGAAGAAGAAGCTGCTGTTTGCGCTGCCCGGAAACCCCGCGAGCGCCATCGTGACGTACCATCTGTTTGTGCTGCCGGCGCTGCGGGCGATGCTCGGGCACGTGCCGGCGGGGCTGCCGGTGGTGCGCGTGGTGCTGCAGGCGGACGTGGCGCTGGACGAGCGCCCGGAGTATCACCGGGTGTGGATTGCGGCGGGCGGCGAGGACGGCCGGCTGAGGGCGTGGAGCACGGGCGGGCAGAGGAGCAGTCGTGTGGGGAGCGCGGGCGGGGCGAATGGGGTGCTGGTGCTGCCGGCGAGGGGCGAGTGTGGCGGGAAGAGGGGCGAGCTGGGCGTCGTGCCGCGGGGGGAGGTTGTGGATGCGATTCTGTGGGGGCCGGTGGGGGCGGGTGGGGGTTTGTGATGGGGGCCGGTGGGGGGCGGGTGGATGGTTGGTGAGGTAGGGAGCTGGATAGCAGTTGAGCGTCTTGTTGCGGTTTGCGGCTGTCTCTGTGCTTTGTTTGGTTCGTGGGCTTGGGGGATTGTAGATGGTCGTGTATATACCGTTGGAGATTGAACGAGTTTGTTCGATCACATTCAAACACCCATGGCCCGCAGCCAGTAACCCATCCAGGAGCCTTGTGATGCCAGGAATGCCAGCAGCCTACCATATGCCATACCATCTACATGTGCACTGAGATACAGAAGAGATACTACGGCCTCTGAACTATATTTACCACTTTTTATGACTTCCCTTGCTCTTTACTACTGCTGCAATTTCTCTTTGGTATGCTGTCAATGATTTTATATACATTTTCCCCAATCTAGCCCGCCTTTCCCACTCTTCCCTAGCTTGGGCTTCAATAAATTTTTATGTTTTCATTAAGAGTAGCCTCTCTTCACTTTCCGGACTTGTCGAAAGGCATGGCTAGTAGGGAATACTCGTGAGGCTGCATTGCGGGTGTGGGGGGGATGTCAAGTTAGACGCACTCGTTGTCACGCTACTCATTGTTTCCTCACTTTTTTTTTTTTTTTCCTGCGGGTGTACTACAAGAGTGGAGTACCGCCTGAGACAGACAAACGTCCCATCTACACATGACCACCGTTCTCATCAAACCTCTGCATCTACGGTTACTTGTAGTCCGTTCCCCCACACCCCCACCATCCCAGAGACCGGCCCACGGCATGCGAGTGATGTTCCATGAATCCCGCCGCCACGTCTCCCAGCCCGAATTAACACAGCTGCCTGGACCCTGCAACCCCCCCCCCTCCTCTGCGTTTTACAAACCGCCTAGTAACTACCACTGCACCGCACTGCACTGCACTGCACTGCACTGCACGTCCATCTCGCCATCTAGCTGGCTGGCTAGGACAGTGCATCCGAGACCGCAATCTCCCCGCGCGCGGGTATGTGGCCGAGTGACAATCTATGATCGGATTGTGGGTAGTGAATTTTTTTTTTGCTGGTGATGGTTGGATTGCGTGGAATGTGGAATCTAGCTTGTAGCTTGCATTTCATCCCATGGGACCTACCAACGGTTAATCAAGAGTTGAGTCTCTAGTTAAGTTCCGGGCAGGTTAGCATGAGCAGCAGCTGGGAACGAGCCTAGGTTTAGGGTAGTGTTCTCTTATAGTTTTTCTCCGCGCAATAAGCAGAATTCTTTTATCCCTCTGCCCCAGTATGATCGACCCCCAGTCTGGAGTCGCGTTACACCCTGAACACAGTCAGAATCTCGCCGAGGAAGCTCCCAAATACAAATATTGACTTTCTGGACTACATATATGTACAACGACCACAACTTGTCATTCACGTCAAAGAACAAATGCAGCAGCTCGCTCAACGAGCACATTCGGCACTTTAAAGCTCGACAACCAAATTTACATTGTAGATTCGACACAGAACCACAAACATACAGCTCATCTACACATATAGCACACAGTTTACGACGGAGTGGAAGCCAACCCCCACCATACACACAGAGTTATCACGAGCACACAGCTGCGGAGGCCTAAACTATAGCTCTACAGCCAACTTTGCTGCAGCCTCAGACAACACCCCATGTTACCGCCTCGAAGAGAAAGCAGCACTCAAACCCCACAGTCATGCCCCACAGTCTACTCCCTCGCAGTCTCGGACACAAAGCGTCCCAAACCCGCAATGAAGAAGCCTGCAGAGAGACAAATCAAAAATTAAGTGACCTAACAAACCCGAAGGTCTGTAGCAGACGCTCAACCCCCCCCCGCTGTGCAATGGAAGTCTCGCAGCCCGGAGCCCCGGTATTCATGATCACCAAGGCTCGTCGCTAGGTAAGTATGAAGAGGGAAAAGGGGAGCGGGGGGGGGGACGGGGCCTTGTATACCTCTCAAAAGGCCAAGATAGCTCGGCTGCTTTTTAGGTTTGTGTGGGCGGCGAAATTCGGGATGGCTGATGTGGCCTGTATACTTGCATGTGGCCTGAATGTATGGTATACATTTACAGAAGGGCTGTACATCGATGCTGGTGACGAATACATGTAGGTTTGCGTGCCTGGAGAGTGTAGTTATCTTCGCCGATTGCAAGATCCACGTATTGACAACACCCGGGGGGTGAAGGGAGTTTACTCGCCCCTAAATTAAAGTGAAGCCACATTTCAGAAGTCTTTTTATTACTTGCATTTAGTACATGGAACTTATAACATCGTTACATGTAGTTTCTCCTTCTGAGCTACGTGGTTACGATCACTCTATTGCCAGTGCAGTCTTCGCGGCTAGGTCACCATGGCCAAGTTACAGTCCTACTTATGGAGAGTCTATTCACACCACAAGTGCGGCTCCGTCTTCATTCCAGGCGGTCAATGAACTAAAGGTTTATGCTTCTTGCAGGTCCCATAAGCGATGTAAATTTTTATAATTATCCGTTCACCTTTTCTTTTTTTTTTTTTTTACCAAACAACAACCCCACCCGCACCAATACCAACCACGCTTACCAAAAAACCTGCAAACTAATCATTACCTCCTACCACCAGTCTAACCAAACCCGCCAAAGCCTTGGCAACCACAACCACCTCAACCAAGCAATAACGTCATACCTACCCACCACCCCACCAAACAAAAACAGCAGCTACCAAATCAAAACCACAACCTCATACAAAAATGTTTCGTTGGGTAAGCATTCCCCCCATACTCCTCCCCCCCCCCCCCCCCCCCCCCCGATCAGACTACCCAGCTAACACCGCAAGCGCAGCACAAAACTCTCGACGTCCTAACACTCTTCCACGCGCCCAAGTCGGCGCCATCCAAGCGAGTCCTAGACCTGCTGAAAGAAGCCTCCACCAGCGCGACCGAGGACCCTAACAAGAAGGCCGTCTTTGAGCTCGAGGTTGTCGAGGCGCCCAAAGTGCCGACGCCGTCGCAGCTGCGGTCCATCCTGGAGTTTGCGGGCAAGAACCGCGTTGGCGAGATTATAAAGGGCGCCAAGTCGGAGAGGGAGGCCATGAAGGCGCTGGATGAGGGTGGGGAGAGCATCAGTGAGAGGGTGCTGAGGCCACTGTTGGTGGATTGGAATAATGGGAGGGCTGGTGAGTTGTTCCCCGTGAATTAATTTGGGGGCGGGCTGATTGTGGGTAGTGCTTGGGGCCGATGAGAGTGCTATCAAGAACTTGGTAGATACTCTGCCAAAGTAGGGCAAGGCATTGCGGACTAATACCATGTGTTTGGGTGGGGGTAAGCTGATATTCTTGCATGTATATCTATTGCCCTGACCTCTAATACAATTTCTGTCAAGGGAAGAATGCTTATGGACATCATCTATTATATACCGTACAGTAATGAAACAGACAGATAACCCCTTTTTCATCCAGGTGACCAAACCCCGGAAACTAGTAAGCAAACTGGGAAAGTATGTACGCCACCTCCATCGCCATCATTCATATCGTGACAAAAAACAAGATACCGTTTCGCCGCCATAATAAAACACAAACACCTAAAAAAAAAAAAAAAAACTCCAATATAAAGCATAACACATACAAGTAAACATAAAAAAAAAATTAAACCCAGTGAAATCACCATTTCCACTTCTGCGTTTTCTTGAGAAATGGGCTCGGGATGTCATCACGGGTAGCGATTTCGGGATTTTGGCGGGCAATCTGAACCAAACTCAACGCCTTGCTGCTTATTGGTGCTGATTTGAGAGCCTCGGGATTGCTTCCTCCCAGCTCTCTTGTCTTTGACGTGTTTTGAGGGAATCTGTCGCTTGTTCTTCCAATGCCCCTCATTGGAGATCCGCGGTATGCGGTGGTGAAAGTTGATGCCCTATTCAAAGCACCACGTTTCCTTATCGGAGACGGCTCCTCTTCAAAAGAAGTATCAGGAGTATGGCAGTCCATTGAGCCGAGGGATGAGGTGGAAAAGTGCTGATTCTTGTAAGGCGCCTTTTTCATGTCGGGCATCGAAGGGCTGTTCGGGATGGATGATTGAGGGCGGAGTTGGTTTACTGGTGCCAGGTTTAGAGGCATACGTGGAGGGGCTTGTTCAAGCATGCCTTGCTGAAAGAGCTTAGAAGGCTTACTCGGGCTAGTATCAAATACCGATGGAGAGCACATATCGATATCCACGGGCGACGCAGGAGCAACTACACGGGGAAAATTGTGTATCGGACTTTCAGGGACGTGAATGCTGTCCCCATATCCTGAATCATCTGCATTGGATAAGAGTGAGGACGCCAAAGGTCTTGGTACGAGGTCCATCTCCTCGATCATTCTCATAGCCGCCTTCTCAACCTCGCTCTGCCAGGCACTATGCCACTTCTGGTGAGCCTCTGCCTCCCTTTTGTGCACCTCTTCAAGCTGGAAGGCAACCCTATTTTCAATCTCTGCCATGGCCTTCCTCTCCCATTCTTGGCGAAGCTCAGCATTCAACGCGTCACAATGCTCCTGTATCGCTTTCCGTGCTAATTCCTGCTCCATAGCAAACTGAGCATCCTTCCGTCTCAGCTCTTCTTCCCTCATCCTCAACACCTCCTCCTTTGACCTCAACACCTCCTCTTTTGACCTCAATGCTTCCTCCTTTCGCTTGAAAGACCTGCCCATATCCAATGCCTCAATCTCCCGACGATTGAGCTTCACATATGGCAATTGCAATAAATGCGAGGTATCTGGTCTCTTCGAAGGATCTCGCTGAAGACACATATCGATGACTCTCCGGAGATCTGGTGAGTACTGGTTGGGAATAGGCGAGAAGCGGCCTTCTTTTATTTTTGTTCCAAGGCCGTGCAGACTTTGAGCGTTAAACGGGGGGGAAAGCTTGCAGAGTTCGTAGACGATGCATCCGAGGGCCCAGATGTCCGATTTATGCGTGTAGGTATCTTCGCTAATGAGTTCCGGCGACATGTAATAAGGTGTACCGACATAGGTGGTAGCCAGTTGTTGCTCAGGTGCCAACATCTTTGAAAGCCCAAAGTCTCCCAACTTCACGGCATGGTCCATATCGAGAAAAACTACCTAGTGTCAGCAATCTCCCGAATTCATAGAGGCGAAAGGATAAGCTAATTACTATTTTCCGGTTTCAGATCTCTGTGTAAAATCCTCACCGTGTTGCTTGTCGCCTGAGGCAGCAAGTGATCATCCGTGGCGTAGATGTCGCCCAGATCTGGAGGGTTGACTCCGTTGTGACACCGGTACAATGCCAACACCACTTGCGTAAATATCGACCAGACAAAATGTTCCGGGACCATGCTTCGCTCAGCCTTGCACCTCTTGATAATTGTCGACAGGTCTCCATTCCCGCAGTATTCCATGTAGAGGTGTATCGATTGGTCCTTCTTCATGTGATCACGATGGAAGTATTCGACGATATTACGGTGTTTTAGACGGGCTAAGATTTCGAACTCCGCCACTAGCTGGTTCTTCTCCTTGTCGGTCATCTTGACATACGAGATCTCTTTACGAACCAACACCTAAGACATTAGAACATTAGGAAGGTCTGCATTAGAGCCAACGTTTGCATGGGGAGGGCTCCATACCAGGCCATCCGTACGACGCCTAACCTTGCGAATCTGACCAAACGCGCCCTGGCCGATCAATTCTAGTACTTCATAAGCATCGGTAGAGGCCATCTTATGGTCACGATAGCTGCGGCTGTAGGACGAGAAACAAAGTGCAAGTGAACGACGAAATTGCACAGGAGTAGAGGAGTGCTGGAATCACTTTTAATCTAAGAGGGACCCCGGTCGATAGGTCGTTTATGGTGGCCGTTGATCGTAAGGAGTTGTTTGGGCGTTGGGCGTTGGGTACTTGGGTTGCTAAGGTATGTAAAGTACATGTACCCTACATACGACGGTCTTTATGTGCTGGTCGCCAACAGGCACTGACTGAAAACAAAAAAAACGTGGCACTGTTGCTAGGGCAACCACTCGTATCATCGATTAAACAACGGTTTGTCATCAGGGCTAGGGCTTGAATGTGGCTGCGGCCGAGTGATCCAGGGAGTAAAAGAGGGCGGGTAGGTATATAGTACGCGGTTTCTTATCTTCACATGTGCGGTTACTTTGCAATGGTCTCCCCTTGCGTGTGCGTTCGTCTTTTTTTCTTTCTTACCGGTGCCTCTGTACTAGAACTTAATATAATTCTAGCACAGAAAGCCATACCTCATATACTGCATACCTAATTAAGGATATAAAAGCATAACAAATGCGGACCTATACGCCTTGCCAACTCCACCCTGCTAACATGGAAACAAACCCGAAATTGAAAACGAAAAAGAAAAACATGACAAGATTAAGTGGTAACATTACAGCTTCTAGAGTAAACGATCACTTCTTTTCCTAAAAGTTGGTCAGCTTTAAGTTAATGCAGTTTTTTGAATCAGATTTCTCACTGTCTTCGGATGATTGTCATTTGCCCTATCATTAGATCCGGAGCTGCCATGCAAGATACTAATTAATTCAAAGTTACCCTAAATGCTTAGGTAAGTGGTACTTACGCGCTAGCATTCCCCTTTCTTCGTCTCTTAGGCTTGAGGAAGACACCACTTTCATCGTCCTTTTTCCTCATGGGCCTTGGGGGTAGTGGGTGTGGCTAACAACCTATTAATATCCAGCCAGCCAGCTCTATATAATAAGTAGATGGGTATAAACTTACCCCCTTGGGAGCAGGAGCTGGTAGAGATCCGGTAAATTGCGGTCGTTTGTTTGCTCCATCGGCATTTGCATCAAAGGAATGTGTTCTCTTTGGGGGTTGTATGGGCTTTGGTGGCTCTGTCGACGTTTTGATCGGGGGGATACGGACGTCATGTGTATTACTAGTACTTTGTGTTGGTGCTCGAGGGTTCTGACTACTCTGGTGAGTGCGGCCTTGGTGACAATTACCCGGCCCGTGGCCGGGCTTCCCGCACGATGTGCAGATACCCCGAGGCGGATTCGGTGCTTGTGGATGGTAGTTCGGCCCTGGACGTTGGTTAGGTCGAGGTCGTGACACTGGCAACGGCAACGGCTCATCAATATCCATAGGATCATGGTGGGCATGCGCTGCTGGTGCAACATTCCGGGGCGCCTGATTCGGTCCATTCCTACCTGCAATAGCTGGTTTGCTTGCAACACCCTTACTCCCCCTAGCCGAGTTTGTGAACATAGATTGATGAGCCTCTGTAAACACCCCCCTATCCTTGGCATCCTTCACCAACGCTCCCCATAATCTATTTTTGATTAAGGAATTTGCATTTCCCAAGACATAGAGCGAGGATTTCGCTCTGGTTAAACCGACATTCATACGGCGAATATCGCTCAAGAAACCAATACCACCTTCGGGAGAAGCTCTCACACAAGAGAAAATGATAATGTCACGTTCCCTTCCCTGGAATGCATCTGTGGTGTTAAAATCGATAGTATCCACAATCCGTTCACCATACTGCCTCTGAAATCTCCTCTTCAACTCAAAGAGTTGCTGTTTATATGGGGTTATTATCCCGACTTTCCCATCAAAGTCAATTTCCGTGAAATCTTTTGTCAGACGGTCAAAAAGGGCGAAGGCCATGTCAATTTCCATGTGATTGACAAGAGATGTCCGTCCACCGGTAGATTCTCGACCTTGCACGTTGAAAAACCGGTATGGACCGAATAGATTGCTGTTGTGCCACAGCTCTGTTCTCAGTTCCTTCATGCCTGGCCCATCTTCAAGCTCGGAATCATAAAATTGCTTTGAGGGGAAAGCGCTAATCATAGGGTGCATTCGGTACTGAATACTCAGAAGATGTACGTTCTTTGGATAGTTTTCTTGCATGCGAACGAACAAACTCTTCTCGTAAGAGAATTTTGCAGCTTCGCGGGACAGGACGGTAGGGGGCTATTCAAAAATTACGATATTAGCTCAATCGTTTTAAGACTATGGGGCGGATGCTTACCAACTGTTTGGGATCTCCAACGAGAATACACTTTTCGCACCCAAACTTGAGAGGGATGAGTGCACTCAATTCCACTGATTGAGCTGCTTCATCGATTATCACAGTCTCGAAATCGACATTCACATTACGCAGCATGTCATGCCCGCTCCCACTTAAAGTTGCACAAATTATCTGCGCTTCGTCCATGATTTCCTGCTGCACACGGCGTCGCAACACCTCTGCATTTCTGCTACTCTCCTTTTTTTGGTCTCGCTTTGCATCAAGCGCTCTTCTCTGCTCACGAATTGTGGCGCTAAGTTTATCGATTTCAGCTTGTAAGCCTGCAGGTGGTTCCACCTTTTTCGAGCGAGCATCATCCATCTGTGTCTGCTTAGTAGCACGCTCTTCCATAAGCTGCGTATGTTTTTTCCTCAACTCTTCCATGTCCGTATTTTTGCCTTTCGAACTCTCTGTTGTTGGTGCCATTCTGCGTTCGATAAGCTCCTCGAGCGTAACATCTCTTACAGTAGAATTGATCGCATCTGATCTGCCGATACGAACAATTGTTGGAATTATGTCTTCCCCCTTTGTGGTTCGCACACCTTTCTTGAAACGAATAACCAATTCGTCAACCGCTGCGTTGCTGGGTGCACAAACCAAAATCTTTTTTGAAGATGTTTTTAAGCTAGGTTTACTCTGAACTCCGGGTACCGTTATCGCTGTTGCCCCAGTGGTCCCTGGTGTCAATAAAGCTCCAACAATCCCGATAACAGTTTTAGTTTTCCCTGTACCAGGTGGACTATACACGAGTTTAGAATGAGAATATTCAATGTGGTTATAAATGCAACTACATACCCTTGAATCAATGTAAAACCAGTATTCTTTATGGCAGAAATGATAGCACGTGCCTGAGGCTCATTTACAGTATACAGGTTTTTCGTGCGCTTGACCTGCACCTCCGTTGGTTCTTCAAGTTCAGCGGGCTTAGCATTGATGATCTCATGTTCAAGATCATAATATTGTAGACACATCATGGCGGAGTACTCTCTCTCGAGGGGAACCAATCTAAAGATTATTTGTTAGTGGCAGTGTTATATAGGCCGTTTGAACCAGAGGATGAAGGAATTTATACCCCATGATCTTAACAGCATAAAGAGTGCCCCCATTACGCATATGATTCTGCATCATCGAAGGCGAAGGATCACATCGGAGCTGAACCTCACATACTGGAGCACCCGTGAATTTTCTGTTGATACTGTGCACCCTTGCAAGGCAATGAGGCTTGTCTGTGGACGATAGAGGCCTTTTATCGACGGACAACAAAACAATGTCTGATTCTTGCCACCGAGAGCGGTCGTCCATATTTGCGACGGTGGTCTCGAGTTCCACAAAGTTGTCTGCCCGCATTCTCGAAACTAACTTTACTTCCAGGGATGCGGAATTTGGAGGGATCTCCTCCTTTGATTTCTGAAATCCTACCCAAGCCTCGAGTAGCAGAAGTGGCTCGAAGGTTTTACGGTAAGCCTCATATGAAGCAAATGACTTTGCAACAGATATATAGTCCTGTTTGCTCAAACCAGGAGGAAAAGGATCTTCGTGAAAAGCCTCCCATTTGAGTATTTGTTTATAAAGAGGCGACAAATCCGGTGCAACTCGAGCTCGGTTGTCCTTAACTCGGCGAGTTGGCCCTGTCACTCGGTTTATTTGAGCTCTCGGCTTAAGTGAAGTACCCAAATTTAGATCATGTACAATCCTCGTTGACCTTTGAACAGCATTGCCGAGCTTGAACAAAGAATTACCGCCCTCATCTTCAGAGGATTCATCCGAAGAAGAATCTTCAACGACAGTGGTAGCAGCTCGCTTGGCCTTCTCTGCTGCCAACGCCGCCTTTCTAGCAGCATCAGCGGCTTTTGCGGCTTTTCGTTTGATGAGAAAATCATCAGGAATACCCCCACGAGTCGCATCTTTCGCAGCACCTACTCTGAGTGCACTAGCCTTCGATTGTGTTGCCGATGGTTTTACAGGCGGCTTATAAGATCTAGCGGCGTCGGCAGGTCGGACCGTAGTAGTTGGAAATTGAAGCTGGGTCTGCTTGTGCACAGTCTTCTTTCGGGACACCTCTTCCACCGCCTGTATCATTTCGTCATCTGAGATATCACCATAGTCATCGTCTGAAATTTCAACCACAGTGGGTTTGACTATAGGTCATTGCAAGTTAGCATATACTCAATAACCTAATTAAAAAGGAAAGGCTTACCTTCATCGGGAATGAAGTCGGGGCGGATCTTGGTCACGGCGACTGAGAGCTCTGCCTTTTGTACTTCACTGAGATTTGTTGTAGGGGGGGCTGACGGGTCGTATTCCGGTAGTGTTTGGGGGTAGATATACTTTCTCATTGTGGTAAAATAATCATCTGAAATCTCGACGCCCTGTTGCTCTAGAAGCTTCAATATCTTGCACATCAAGGCTTGACAAGTACTTAAAAGATGCGGATCTTGTATGGTCAAGATACCAGCGAGAGGATGAAGCGTTCTTGAGGCGTCTTGAAGAAGCTTTACCCCCCAGCTAATATCTTTATTGGCACCTGGTCTGACATCAAGCTCAGACATATTGGCTCTCAGTGCCTGTTCGAATGTCCAATACCGATTGAAAAGATTATCTGCGTAGTCCATAGCATCTCGAGTAAACTCGATCATGACTTCTTTATCGACGAAAAACGCCCACCTTCTTACTCGTTTGAAAATATTCCCAAGCCACCTCCATTGTACATCCCAGTATATCCTTAATGTAGTCTTCTGCCATCCCTCAAGATTTTGTTTTACGATGACACCATCATACCGATCACATAGGACATCCAGCACGATCGAACTAAAATTGATCATCTTGGGCATCAGAGAAAACGTTGTCACTTTTTGCAGCTGTCGTCCAAGGTCGGAAAGTGCCGTTATGGTCACACGAAAATCGGCCTTCAGCATGGCTCGAAGAGCTTCGTTCTTATCTTCTACACCATAGGCTTGAAGAAGACTGTCTTCCGCTGCAAAAGAAACATCGTCTATCGGAGAAATTATACCAGTAAAGAAAGTAAGTTGGGCGCTATCCTGTGAGAGAACCTGATTGATATTATAGGGTGTGAAGCGACTCAGTGCCTGGAAATATTCGTGAAGTCGTCCTTGTAGAGTGGTTATCACTTCGTTGAACTTTGTCTTTCTGTTCTTCAGATCATCTTGGTCCGAGTTACTGATATAAACCTTCTCAAGCATAATCAGTTCTTGCAGAACCGTCAATATTTGGCGGCCAAAGTGGATGTTATCCCGGGGAAATCTTTCGCAAACACTTCTCCAAAGCTCGTCCCTGACTGTTGTCTCTGTGACAGGTAGCTCTGGTTTCTTCTTCGTCAGGCTGGCATAGTCTGTCATTACAACCTTGACATCCAGCTTCAAGGCCGATGTCAAGGTCTCTATGGCGGCATCTCGAGCCATTGACATATGCAATCCCATGCGCGCATCCTCGTACTCCATTGAAGAGGTCGCGACCTGAATTACTATATTAAGATGTTCGTTAAAGAGTTCATTTGCCTGTCGTAGGATAATGCGGTCGGCTTCCCCCTCGAGCGTGCTTGAATGGGAATGAACACCACTCAAGGTTAAACTTAAAACCTTCATCCCTTCTTTCCAGCAGATGCCTCGGGATAAGGGCGGCAAACTATGCTCCTTGAAAAGCTGTCGGAGAAGCGGTGTAGCGCTAGTAGGTCGCTGAAGGGGTCGTATACTACCGACAAACGACGACATCCATTTGGTCAAGTCCAGAATTCGCAATTCACCACTCTCATCCTGGGGAATGTTGCGGAGGAGTTCGGAATACTTATCTTCGACAAGCAGAATATCTGCAAATGTCGAAGAAGTAAGAGGCGAAACAACATCCCAGATTTCACCACCTAATTTCGTCATGAGGGATTCGTAAAACCGAAGTAACGAATGTAGATATGGGGCGCGGAGGGAGATATGATTTATAGCCAACTTAATTGGATCATGCTTTGCTCCACAGATAGTCTTTGTAATGACCTCCTTACTGACATTTTTTACAATCGTAGCCATTCCAGCCCAGAATGGCACCAGCTTCTCCGGAACACCCTCAGTTTCTGCTTTCCGGACAGTCTCCTCTAGTGCTTCCAACATGTGGGACTCAAACTCTTGAGGTTTAAAATTAGGACCCATAATCTTCCACGATTGCTCAACCACTGTGCGGAAAGGTTCCTGCTGGCCAGAGAGAAAGGTGATAAGTCCTCTTGCAGGTCCTTCTACTGTTACCCTTCCCGTCTTGCATATTTCGGCAAAACAAGATCTGAGTTCTTCATTTCGAAGAACTTCCGGACTACAAAAACACTCGTAGACTGCATTGCGCTGGGCTCTGTTCCCTCGAAACCTCTCGTACCAAGCGTCTACCGATTCTGCTTTCTTAATATCCCGAACGACATCCTTGATAACCGGCAATACGCGTTCGATGTCCCATTCCTCGAGAAAGCCGAAAAATAGGTCAAGGTTTTCCTTGTCATGCTCTCTAGTGATAGTTAGAACGTGGTAGTTGCTGCAGGGTCTGGGTCTCGTACTCTAGTAATTGATGGTAGAATCTGCGCTTTAGACAGTAGAACTGTGCCGTACAAGCAGCGCACCGTGCCAACTGTGCAGCGATCCTGCCTTTCAGCCAATTCTGGTTGGTCTCCTGGTCGACGAATGACAGTAACATTAGGGCGTGCAGCGTGGCTTCTTGACGAGATGTTTCGTCTTCATCGCACTCCACTTGTTTCCCACCAGGCCCAAGTTCGATCTTCTCGCAAAGCCAGTGAACTTCCTCCGGCAAGTTTGCCACTACCCTGTAAAGATGTGAACACTGAAGGTGAGGTAATACTACAAAAAAGGTGGACTTACTGGAGGCCATTAGTCACTGCGCCGCCGTCAGCCATTATACTGCTGTCGCTGGGGCGGGTAGAGCTTCAATATAAAGTCCTTTTCACGTAGTGACAATATGAAAGAGCGTAATGAAGTTGGGAAATGATGCGAAAAAAAAAATGAAAACCCGAGAGAGCAATAGCCTAGAGGTAGGTGTCTTGACTCTTGAGGGTTCAGAGCGGCAGAACATGGGAGGCTGCAGGACGCGATTTCTTGGCTCAATTTATCATGATCTTAGTCATACAGCCTACGCGCCAAACAAAGCCCTAAACCCTATTCACGTGCCATACCGTTAAAGGTCCATTACTCACGATTCTCTTCCACTCTATTGATCGGAAGGCGAGGGAATAAAGGGCCTACGCAAACCTCATGTTGGTTCTTCAATGTTACATGGATCACACCAGAATCTGATAGCACTCATTTCACTTTTCTTTTCTTTTTTTGTTGGAGTGATGATGTAATGAAGTATATGTGTGCTTGCTCGAATATTATAGCGAGTGATAATAAGTGACTTTGAATGCTGAGTGATAATAAATGATGCAGTGGGAGCTATCAAATCCATAAAAGGGTCCTAGCGGTCTGTAATTATTGCTCCCAACCCCTACACAATTTCAGATAAATTGCAATTGATACCGATATCTTGTATTTATGGCAAAAGAAATTGCTAATGCTCAAAAAAGAAAAGACCCGTCTATCACAGATTTTGGATACGTATCGTACACACAAAATCGGAGAACCGGTTGTGATTTTTGTACTTTCCATTATCCAACCGTGAACCAGCAAAGGAAAGAACTCCATTTTAGAACAAGAAGAAAAAAAAGTTTTGGTTCCCCGACCTCCAAGATTCATGGATTTGATTTTAATTTACTTTATGTATCCCCCAAATCTACTCCTCAATGTTGCCCCGCTCGGAGACGTAAAGACCGTCCAAGAACTAGAAAGATGTTAGCACAATTCTGCCAAAACCAACTTCAACCAGTTCAATTATGTACCTTTCGGATATCCTTATTCCTGACCCTGCAGATCTGCTGGATATCCGCAGCGGATTGAGAAACGTTCTCAAGAGAGTTACCAGTGAGAACGATCTCGTCCTTGACGTTGGCGCTGGTCTCAACGCTGACACCGGGAAGCATCGTTACACGACGGATGATCTTCTCTCCCAAAAAGTTACTGTTGGTATCCGGTCAGTATGTAGTTCGAGAAAAATTGCCATATTTCGATAAACGACGACGGATGCGTAGAGAAAAGACCGATGGTTCCCCCCATCTGGCTATCATTCCCAAGCTTCTACTCGTCGCTTCTGTCTCTTCAGAATATCAAGACAGGAAACCCACCGGATCTCAACGTGTCCCAAACCAGTCTCCTTGTCCTCATCAATGTTGACGTTGATGGGGAAATGGGCGTAGACGTAACGCATCTTGTACTTGTAACCCTTGGTAACACCGATGACCATGTTGGCGATCAAAGACTTGACGGTACGGAGAGCGGCAACATTCTTGCGGGTTCCGTGGTGCAGGGAGATGTTGATCACGTTGGGGAGGGGGCTCTGGACGAATGAGACCGAAAGATGCTTAAGGTCCTTGGTGAGCTCACCACGGGGTCCGGTGACGGTGACGATACGGGACCTGATCTTAACGGACACTGGGAATCATATTCTGTCAGCGTTCCTATCCCTTCAAGCCTGCACTCCGCAAAATTTCCCCAATCTATGTTCCCAAGGTCCTTTTCTGAGCTCCACCACAACTTTTTGGGCCGAGCCTTCCTTCTATTTCTCACGCCCCCATAACCTCACATCCATCTCTTATTTCCCTTTAAACCCAACAAGCTCTCCCCAAAAACCCTAGCCCGCTCTCCTTGGTACAATTTACGGAATTAGGAGAAAAACTCACCGCCGTCAGGAATGGTAAGAGTCTCTCCGCTGTGAATATACTTCATCTTGTCGGTCGGATTTGGCGGTGAATTGGGGGTGGTCGAATTATCGTTTCGTCGTTCGTCGTTGGAGGGGCGTTGCTGTTGCGAGCTGCGTTAATTCACAAATTCCCTGTGGGTTCCGCGACAATGTGGGGGCACTAATCTTGTTTGGAAAAGCAGTGACTGTGTAACTTTAGGGCTCAACCCCAGCCTCCAAAACCACATCCGATCATGACTTCTCACCCGCGACTAACCACGAGGTACATCATTTTGTCTGATCAATCAAAAACATCAACCTAACTTTTCGGCAGCCTCTATAATTCTTTCAACTCATTTAACTGATCCAAATAATAAAGTTTGTGCTCATGCTAACATAGGGACCCTCTGGCGTTCGGCAACGTGATTGTAGGAGCATGCAACTAAGGAACCGCCTTACATGCTAACGAAGATCTTCCTCGCTGGTTCGGTTAATGTATGTCTTTGAAGGTTTTAGTGGTTTCAAGAAATTTTTTAAAAGAAGGTTAGGAGACTAATCTCTAATCGATGTGAAGTTATACAACACTAGACGAAACTAGAAGTTTCAAAGCAGTGATAAAATAGGAGCCATCTAGTACTCTAGTTTAGTACAAAACAAGTCTGATTGAAAACACGGCAGTTATTCAAGAATGAGTCCTATGAGCTATATACTATAGCCAACTTCGCCTCGATCTGCGGAGTATTCGAGATACCGCTCCATTCCTAGAAAAGATTATCTGTAGAGATTAGGATATTTTTTGATTTAGTAATTTTTTCTTTGCGGATCGCGATCGACGACCCGGGAGATATCATGGGTAGATTAAAATCCCGTCTGGGCATATATGAATCTCGGACCATAGTCCAGTCAAACGAAATAACTACATAAACTTCCATCAATGCGCACATATACATACATATGCAGTACAGTATCACAAAGACGTAAGTGCACAAGGTGCCACATTTATGTGCTCCCAATCCCATATTCTTTTCAACTTTGCGAATTTTCTAATCACGCGGAGACCATGTGCGATGAGGCTAGGGCCTTGTTCGGAGTTTACTGAAACCAAACAAACAAAAATTCGCCAGATTTTATGTGACGGAATTTATAATCAGGGAAGTTTATCTAGGTTACTTCGCTTTTGTGCAGTTACATGTGTTATTGTATTATGATGTGAAACGGAGTTACAAGCAGTGAGGATTGACTGCCGACATATTTGTGCAGCCGTGGATTTCAGCTGTTAAAGATCAGTATTCCGATGGATCGACCAGACGTCTTGCCGGAGCAGCCTATCCGTTGACGTGAATTCAGATCAGTAAAGATCCTTGAAGTCTAAATTCTTTTAGGCTAAATACATACATGGCCGGGATTTAATACACTCAGGCGTGAGGCTTCCGGCAGACACGCGGCTTCGCCTTCAAAGGGAAATCCGAGCTAGTAGTGTCAGTGTCATTATCGGTACCGGCAATGAAGTTGTGAAACCGTGAATTGCATTGGCGTGTCGAGTGATATCACATGATGATAAGAAACGGCTTGATATATATTTTTAATCAAGACCAAGGTTCTGCTGCTGCAACCATAGATCGAGTGCCCCTTGAACCTTTCTACCAAGATATATGCGCGTAGTGAATATACATATCTCCCCACGAGGTTCCGTTCCTTGAGCCTTGAATGCCCCCACTAATACTGTCCCGTCTTCCGAGCTTTGGTGGGTTTTATTGGTTTCTACCAAAGGAACATATGCCCCCCACCCTGTCTATAAATTTTTCTAGCCAAACAGACTTGGTATTCGCTTATTGATCTATGTACCTACATATACATACGCACAGGTATTACGACCCGTCGCTCAGCAGGAAGGGAGGTATCACGCCGTATCCACCGAGAAATATGTATGTGAGAAGCAGTGCAACAATATGCGGATAGGTGGCAATTCGGCAAGTATAGCTGCAATGAGAAAAGAGGAAACCTTCTGCGCAGGCGGTCGAGACAGGAGAAGGACTTTGTCATCATCTTGTCCTTCGAGAGGAAGAGAGCAGTTTTGTGCCGTTGCTATTGTGTGATAGCCCTAATCCCCGTAATGCGGCGCAAGCGCTTGGACCATTGTCGGCCTGTCATCTTGGTCCTGTCCTGGATGATATCGCGGTCAATCATGACGCCTTGCATGACGGAAGGAGATACGCTGTATTAACAAGGCGAAGGCGTGGGATGACGGGCTTGGGTCCCAGACCTCGACAGCCGGATGGCATCAACTGCCTAGTTCCGATCGTCAGCCATCTTTCTGCACAGAGATGCACCCCCCAGACGAGGGGTTAGTATTGGGAACTTTGAAGGAATACGATACATAGTTGTTGATGGAGTCTAGAATTGAAGAATTTTGGTCTAGAATGCTTGTGTACACACCCCAGCTAGTCCTGTAAATTTGACGCCCCGTCATGATAGTAAACGCCCGGCCTTGATATCAATCACACGGACACGTCTGTCACTACACAGGTCGTTTGGTGGGGTAGATCGAATGTTTTGTTTCTGTTCGTGTCTCACATCGACCAGGAGGACAGATAGGCGCTCTTTCTTGTTGTTGATGAGACAAAGTAAAGACGCTTGTCGGCACAGCCTGGGAGATGCTTTGTGGGCAAGATAATTGGAGGGAAAACGACGCTGCAGGAAGCAAGGGATGTCCAAAAACTAACGAATCTCTACATAACAACTGCTGCCGGAGCCGCACCTATATCCGACAACCAGGTATGCTTTGGGCTTAGGAGTCTTTGTTGGGATTAATACATGTATGTAGTTTGTGTATGTATACTCTGTATAGTACCTGAATAGAATTTTCCGGGATAGAAGCCTTGCAATTGGAAGAACTACATGTACAATTAAGAATTTCATATGATGCTATAGCGCTATGATAGAGTTCCAGATAGATAAAAACAAAAATGCAGCTCTGTGATCCTCGGAATCTGGTTCTCGTTTTCCAGCTTGAAAAGATATGGTCTCTTGTATGTCCTGATCGAGATCCTCAAATCTGATGATGCTGCAAGAAACCGCCGTGCAACAGCGTCATTAAGTTAACGAAAACCGGCCACTTGTAACTTAATAGGAAAAGCTATTCTAGCCCCGATAGTTATGTATGCAACAGAATAAACACTGCCCATACAAATGAAGTTTTTCACAAACCATTCCAGCCTTTGTCCGATTTGGTGAGTTTGTAGTAACTAATCCAAGACAGTGATGTGCATAACATATACCTACTGTTAAGCCAAGTTTTTTTCTTTTTCCTTGTAGTTTTACACACACGTAGGGCACCTACACCGACTTCCGAGACTCAGATCATGATCATACGTCGTAGTAGGTAGGTGTTTGGCTTCCGAATAACTACCCGCGGAGAGAAAATTTGTATAGCTATAAGTAGGCACATACTGTAAAGTAGGTTATGAGCTCGGGGGTAGTTGGTGTCATCTGACTACTAGCACGAATAGAGTACCCCCCGTGGTGGTAAATAGGGGACAGGGAGGGCCTTGTCTTCCGGCAAGGATTCTGAAATGATTGTTCTAGCCCGACTGGTAAGAATTAGGGTTGTTGGCAACGATGATTGGAGAAGCGACGGGTAAGGGTTACTTGATAGCGGTTCGCGCCGTTCGGACAGTTAACTGCAATTGTGCTCCCCTTTGAGTAGTCCTACACGCAGTAGTACGTTACAAGTCAAGTCAGTGAGTGAGTGACAGTGACATGCTACAAAAATGGTAACTGGGCCAGCCGCGGGGGGATGTCAAGGCCGACGTTGTTGAGAGTTCGTGGTCAAGGCCTGGCCTGGCAGATGGGTAAGGAAACATTGGACAAGTCTAAAAAAAAATAAAGTCTCTCACCCTGTGGCGACATCGATATCGTCTTCGGAGGGCCGGTTGGTATATTCGTCAACAACGTTCGCAAGAATAGCGGGATGTCCATTCGAAGCTGCAAAGCTGCCGTCTCAATGATCCAGAAATGACCCATAATAGATAGGGATTATTATGGGCGAAGATTTTTCGTGCCAAAAAGCGACAAGTGTTGCACAAGTTGTTCGGAAGAGGAAGAAATTGCTCCATCAAGTGGGCGTTCACAAGTTTTCAGGTATCATGCCGTAGGAAATTCCAGGCTAGAAGGCAACAGCAGTTTGCCCGTGCGCGCATCCGCAACGCACAGATCGTCGACAAGCGAGCAAGTAAGGCATCAAGAGAACTGTGTCGAAGAAACACAGTTCCTACAAAACAGTACAAATCATACACGGAGACTCAATTGGGCTTTGATGGTATTGTAAAACCAAAGAGATATACAGGGATGGCTCTGTGATATCTGCCTTCCTACTACGACATTGGCCCGAAGATACCCGTAGGTGCAGTGCAACAGCCTGGGAAATAACAATATGATGCAGACTCTGATCGATATACCTACAGCTCTGAGAAGATGTGCAGACTTGGGCACAGCCACATATATGTAGCTGCATGCAATAGTAGACGGCGATGGTAATTGGGGGGTATTTGGAAGGTAAACTCAAGCTTCACATCAACCCAGGTGCTATGCACGTACTATGCTCATAATATATCTGTTTAGATGCCCAGTTGGGATTCCCAACGTATCTCAACCTCATAATTCAATGCTGGGACGCCGTGTGGTGCTCTTACTGGGCTGAATTGGAGAGACCCTTGCTTCGACCCCCGCATTCATTAATTGGACATATGAAAGTTGTACCGACCTGGACGTTTTAAGCCCCTCACCTGTCGTTCCTTTTTTGTTCTACTGCAGACCTTGCAGTGTGGCTTCTGCCACTCTACTACTAATCATTAAGGGAAAGGGAAAAGGCAACTATCTGTTGAAGGCAAGTTTGGCTGCGTTTATCATAACATCTTTCTATAAATCTAGCCCCTCGGGGAATGTCTCACTGCGAACTCGCTTCCGTCCTCTCCGCCCCTCCGACGTCTAAAGGTTATATATCTAATCTCACTCCTCGGAGAGAATTGCGTGAGACCATTGATAGTTTTCAGACCCTATTCTGTTTTTTAACATATTTCCTGGCTGCATCACATACCTAATTCTCATTGCACCCAAGTCGAACCCTTACTGGTACCTCTTACTTTTGGTGCTGCTGCGCTTTGGCCGCTGCACGGTGCCCCGCCGATCCCTGTTTACGAAAGATACCTATAGGGAGAGATTCTTATACATACCGGGCGCTGGGTGCTCTCCTTTTATCTCGTGAGCTTTCGACATCTTCAGTCAGTTAGTTACGTTTACCGGTTTTCGTGACGGCGAGAAACGTCGGGTTGTGATCTCAAGTTCGTTGCAACCTCCTGAGCCGTTACTTTTGCAGTGGAAATATATAGTTAGCTGACATTTTCTACAGCAAACGAGGTTTAGCGGCAACTCGCGGTCTTTTTGAATACTCGAAAATATGTACAAAACGGCAGAAAGTGCGAAGCTACCTGAGTATATGGACTGCTCTGTACGCGACAAAGATTATATGGGCGACACTCAACACCACCAAAGTCCTTCAAAGTCTCCTCAATATCGACTATTCGCCATGAACTATGGGCAGGACTACGGCCAGAATAATCAGAACCACCAGAAAACCCGTTCACGTTCTGAGACGTCATTTTCGGATAATATCTCACTGACAACTACTCGAAGTACTGCCACACAGGATCTGGCAGATTTCCTCAAAACATCCAGTCCTGACGATTTCAAGAGATATCTCTCATCGTCTTCTGAAGATCTTAGTACTGGCGCTGGTTCTCGAGGGGGAAGCTTTCGATTCCTGAGGTCGCCGACACATGGAAATTCGCCCACAAGAGTAAATACCGCACCCCCTACAACTGTTACTCCTAGTAAGAATGTTGTTTCCAAAACCACTTCCAAGGGGAAGCCATATCTTCAAATTCATGTGGACTATGGAGAGACTTACTTCGATTCTCAAGCCACGAGTGTAAGTCAACAAACAAGTTTCTCGTCTGAGACATCTTCAGATTATAATCGAAACAGCATGACAACCAGCCTCAGCACCGGTGCATATTCCATACCTAGTCCCCGAGAATCATGTTCTGGCGAGCGAAGTATCAGTCCTACGCTACCTAGGAATGCTCAGGAATCAAAAGTTTCACTAGACGTAGCAACCATGGGTAGATATCAACAGTTTCTTGATTCCGAAACCGATACCAAAACAGGCACTACTAGTGACAGTGTTAGATCGGTACCACGTTCGTACACCAGTGATATTGTTACTATGGGAATGGCAGAGATGAGGGAATTCCAGAAACGTGGGCGACTGAGGTCACCGCCCCGAAGTCCTTCTGGAGCTTACTCTTCGAGCGTCATGGGGTCTACGAAGAGTTCTCCTCCGCGCCGTCGTTCTCGATCAGAGGCCGCAGGAGTTGTTCGTCCAAGGTCTCAAGTCATTTCGGCACGCTCGTCCATGACTTCTGTGGTTTTTGAAGATGTTACCGATATTGAATTTGAAGTCACGACAAGTAGTGGCGCTCATGTTCAACGCAAGAAGAGCCGAAAAACACCACCCATGCCAGGTCCACCCCCAAACAGGAGTTTACCTTCTCTTCCAGAGAATCATAGTGCTCTGCGGCTAGACGAGGCGGAGGAGCGGCGCCCAACTCCTACACGCACACGTATTTCACGAATGTCAATTACAAGCACAACAACAACCTGCCAATTCGATGATGCAGAGTCAATTAGAAGTGATAGAAAGACCCGCGAAGAGCGTGTTAAGGCACGCAAGGCAAAGGATATGCAAAGGATGAGGGAAAGGAGCAAGATTCGACAGAATAGCGAATCGGGTGAAACATATGATTCAAATAGAAGGAGGTCTACAACTGGTCAAAGTACTTTCAGCGACAGCACTGACAGAAGATCTTCACTTGCCCTCACTGAACATCCAGCTTTATCATTCAACAGTCTTCCAAATAGCCCATCGGACAACAAGACACACCCCCGCTATGCGAAAGGATTTGACTCTGGAGCTTCGGAAAATGCATCGACACCACCAACACCAACAGTCACAGTTTCAACACACAACGTTTCGGCAAGGGAGATAGAGATGGAGGCACGAATACTTGCTGTGGAGCGGAAGAATAAGATGTTAGAACAGGCTTTGATGGCGGTTATTCGGAGCACGGTGAAAGGACAGACCCAGCGGAAAACGGAACTGTTCAAGGCGAATGATATGGAGGAATTGCTGGATGAATTAAATCTTGAGGAACATCCAACTGTCTTGACGGACGGTCAATTAGTTTGATGATTGAGTATTATGGTCTGGTTGGCGACATATTCTACGGATAAGGTGTTGGTGGTATTTGCTCCGCTTGCGTTGGGTTTGCCTTGGATTTTTATGAGGAACGTTGGTGGTTTTGCAATTCTCTCTATACAGTTGGTGGTATTGCTTGATTCTCAAGCACAACTGGAAGTGTCTATTGATTTTATTATCTGTAACATTTTTCTTACTATTTTCCTATTTTTGAAGATTTTTTCTTGTACAATTTTTCTTACTATACCCCAGGTTTTGGATTATAGCTCAATATTTTTTCCTTATGTTTTTTTATTTCATCTATTCTGATACTGCGTAGCCAGCGATTACTTGTTGGTCACTTGTTCGCAGAAACACTACCATCCGCTTATTACACTTAGCAAACATTTCTTCCTTAATTTCTATTTATCTCCTTTGTCACGGGTGGCCTTATTATTCTTATTTCTTCCTTTTCTTTCGGTGAGGGCTTTACAGGGGGGTTGGTTCAATTTATCAAAAAAATGGGATGATGGTTTAGGGGAGCCGGTTTGTTACTTCTGGTTTCTGGGGGTTTTTAGATGCAATATCTACCCTCTTTTTTCGATCACACTTTTTTTTGCAATCTTAAGTTTTGTGCATATATCTTCTATATCCATACTGTCCGGTTCAGTTGTTTGGCGCCAGTAGCTACTAGTGGTTTGATGATTGCTCGGCCTAGGGGCGTCATACAGTGAATGCATACATATTCAAACACAGACAACAGATCGAAGTTCCAATAAGCTGTGAAATATACCGACAATGTCGTCATAAGCTCTAACTTGGTTTATGGAACAGGTTGCTCTGTTATAAGTGTAATAAGTGAAGTTGGGCTGAACTAGCTGACGTGACGGCTTCAAAACGGTTCGTTGAATTTGTCCGTCGTTTTTGTTTGGGTGTCAAGTCTTGTAGGACAGACGAACTTAAGCAGGTTAAGTGCAGACTACTAGGCCGAGGTCTCGTGTGGCAGTGATTTTGGTGTTAGCTGATCATTGGCACCACGAAGTTTAAACCAACCAATGTTGTGCAATCTAGCTGCTAACCGTTACTGTACAAGGATATGGGCATGTAGTACATATAGCATGAGTAATGTCTCGGGAACTACGAAAACTGTATTAACGTTTTCCTTTCGAGCGCAGCCATCGAAACTTTAGGACTTGAAGAAATTTTCTACCTCAGTTGAGGTTGGGGGTTCTGGAGTTTATTGGCCGAGTCCAGATATAGGAGGCAAATATATCTCGGTAACTACACATGCTAAAAATTTGCATCGCCCGGCCTCTTAGCTATTTGTAGGCTCTAATCATCGCCCGTTCAAGATTTATTTCTCATCTGCAGTTATCACTGGCTCATATTCAATCAAATGTGTACCTGCATTCAAAGAGCTGAAGTCCGTTGCAGGAACCCGTGGGAGTGCATCTCGGGGATCTACAACTGAAGGGCCAATGGTTAAACCGACGGCCAGATGCATAAGTGCTGAAAACAGGTCCCGCCTTTAGTCTCCATTACAATCAAGAGGTATGTACTTCTCGTTTAACGAAAACAGGAGGAGTAGGGAGGACTCTATCGAATCGACATTAATCCGGGGCCGGGGGAGATTGTATAGCTATTGGCTGTTTTAGGTGTTGATGTATAGACGGCAGATATATGTATTGGAGGTCATAGCTCTCTCTCACCGTATAAATGCTATGGAGATGGGTATGGTTGGTTAGTAAAGTACCCGGTTTCTGAGGCATGCACATTTCAGCGAGTGTTACGGTATTCCTCGTGATCAGGTGGTGATAACTCACGTTCAGAAAAAAAAACAGATATACCGCACATGCTTATAATAACCACTACCTAGTCTCCTCCGGTCGCCAATCTAGCAAAGCTTTAAATAATGCCTACAATACAAAATCAAACAGTCAATTAAAAATTAAACTATAGATTCTTTATTTTAGGCATTTAGATCGTACCCTTCGGTCATTAATAGCTGAAAGTTCAGCTAGAAGCAATGTAGGTCTCCTAGAGACATTACGAGTGGGTAAGTTGTAACTTGTAAGTCATGATCAGGTAAGTGAAGGGTAAGTGGGTATTTTGTAACGACGTATACGTAGAGGTCCCAGTAAGTTACATGTAGTGTAGTGAGAAGTACGTAAGTCAACAGAGAGAGGGCTATGGGGCGGTAAATGTATCAATTTAAAAGTAATTTTACCAACGGTAGTAAATTATTTTACCAACGGTAGTAAATTATTTTACCACCGGTGATGAAAATAATACCAGTATTTATACCTATAATCCTAATTCTTATGATAAAAGCACAGACCTTTTGGCCAAAAGGGGTCATATAATGCCAATATATATGAAAATTGTCCACCGGTGGGAAATTTTCATAAGTTTTGGCATTAATGATTGAACATTTACTTATGTAGTATAGCGCAGCATAAAGATCGAAACCCAGTGTTTATACCGGTGGGAAATGTACTAATGTAGGATAGCGTGCAGACACAATGACTGAAATCCAGTGCTTATACCACCGATGGTAAATAATTTACTACCGTTGGTAAAATTACTTTTGACACATTTACCGCTCCATAGAGGGCGCTCTCGAACTTGAGTTTTCTCGACCTTTTGTTTTCTCTTTCGTTTTCTAGAAAAAAATCATTTTAACATATCTGATCAAAATCAATGACAACTAGTACTAATTGATGCCCAATCTGTTATACCCTTGAGTCTCGATACTGTGAGAACTGACCAATAGAAACGCCTTTTAAACACCGAGAGAAACTAGACTATTTAGGTAAGCATAAAATTCAATCATGCCGATGATAATCAGAGCCTATATATAATTATAAGGAAAATGAGCATATGTGTATCTGTTATACTAAACCTGATGATCGATACCTATCTCCATTTCACAATGTGTGCCAATTCTAGGTCTCATGAGAAATAGTTGGCTTAGCCTTCGTTAGTGTTGAAGCCGCTGGCCTAGGCCTGCAACTGAATAGAGTGATTCTTCAGCTGTATTTAATAAGATGTTCAGTAATTAAGAATCTGAGAAAAATCTAGGGAGGAATTTCTTCGAGTGATATACCATGATGCCAAATTGATGTAGTCTGATCCCTGATGTGCACCCAGATAAAAAGAAAGTACGCAAATGTATTTTCTCCTCTATTTAATGTTCCAGTACCAAGCACAGAATCCTCTGATTTGCGTATAAGGTGAATGAAGAATTAATTGTGGGACTGGGTATTCTGTAAAAGAATAAGATAACATTGTAATTGTACAACAAGAAACCGAGGGAAGAGAATTTACTCAACGTTCCCAAGTCCTTGTACCTTAGGGCTATAGTATCTAAATAGAGCTCAAATTAAACTCCCAAGCATAAAATGGAGGACTACCGGCCTGGTACACTCAACACATATGTACAGCCGCATTCGAAAAGTTTTGGCACCTCCGGGCTAAACTCACGAGGCAGTCCTTTCTACTTTGCAATTCTCATATTCGAGACCGTTATCAGAGAGAGCTGCAATGTCTCTATTGCGGTCATACCTGTCAATAAGTTGAGTATACGCGAGTGCCATGGTTGTTGGTGGGCTACAATTCATGAACGACTCAATATAGTAGGGTGCCAGTACTTTTCGAATGCGGCTGTACATGTACGTACTTTTCTGTTCTTAAGCGGGAGTTGTAGCGTCACTCACCAGATTATTGAGGGGATGCTGTAGTAAATCTGATAACCTCTGCTTGGTTGGGGTTTTTTTTGGAGTTGTAATCCAATTAAATAATGAATGTACTCTGGCGGATGGACTACATGATGCACGCGTTTCTCTGTCGAGCAGCTCTGATGAATGTCGTTTGGTAACTGGCGAACTAGCGTAATACATCTGGCGGGTTTAGATGATCCATCCCTGTCTGCTTGTATGTACAATTTGGTAGCAGTTCATTGCCTCGAAGTGGGGGGCTCCTAGCAATCATAGGATCCCACCATCATAACATTGGACGTCACCCTAGACCACTACTACCCACAACCCGTGAACAGATGCATGTTCTTCTTCACCTTCAATAATCTCTCAACTCATCTCACGAACATCCAATTTTGCTTGCAATGTTCTACTCGCACGAGGTTCTAACTCAGCGCAAATACGGCGTAGCCACTATCTGGTAAGAACCCTTCTCTCCATCAAAACTCTCAGATATTCCCATATGCATTCTAACACCCCGCTAGGCTTGTCGCTACAATTGGCTCTAAATCAGGCCTTAGAAAGGTTCACCGCAAAGACATCTTATCGGTCAATGTTCCAAAGGCTTGTGAAACGGTCATTCAGCCGGACGCACCTCTTGCTCTTCGTCTGCAGTCCAACCTGCTCTATGGAATCTCTAGGTACATGATTGGAAAGAGCAATAGAGAAGTAGCTGATAACTAACTGGGGATAGGGTATACTCTGGGCAATGCGACTACCTAATGAGCGATGCGGCAATGGCGCATATGAACATTAAACGACTCATTAGAGCCACTACAGTCAAAAATCTTGACTTGATGAGTGGAGGAAGGAGCAAGTGCGTTAAGTCCTGAATGTCACCATCCATTTGGGATCATTATAATACTAACGGTGTATTTTTCATTTAAGACCAGAACAACTAGTTCTTCATGATGATCCAGCCTTTTTGCCTGATGTCAATCTCACAATGCTTCCCGATGGTGTTGACTTGATCATCGATGGCAATGGTGATTTGTTCACCCTCGACGAAAGTATAGCAATTTCTTCATTGAACTTCGAGCGAGCTGGTTCAGTTCACTCTCTCGGACAAATTGGTTCACAAGCAGGGTCAGTGCCGGGAAGTCCTAGGCATAGTTTGATGATTCCAACCTCAGACACCATGGCAGGAGATTATGGATTTCTCCCGGGAGGGTCTTCTTCACTCATTGGGGGCGATGATGAAGGAGACAGGTTCCTTGATGACGTGGGCTTCGAATTCGATGCCAATGGAGAGATGAGAGAAATCGAAACGCCTAAGTTTCCCAAAGGAAAAGATACACTTGCTAGCGGCAAGAGTGGAAAAGAGAATAAAAAGGCCCCGAGTATTGATAGAGGTAGTCGTTTGAATAGCGAAGATATTGCACAACAAGTTCTGCTTGAGCATGCCGAGGGCCGCGGCGAAGATCTCAGCAGAAGCCATATGGTAATTTCTACAATTTAAAAACATCAGGGAAATATATGTGCTAACAAAGTAGCTTGACGGGGACGAAACCTATGCCCCGCCAGATGATGATATCTTCGACATCGCTGCTGAGCCGCTTCTTCCTGCTTCAAAAGAAGCTTCAAAGGAAGCTTCAAAAGAACTTTCTGATAGCACTACAATTGCGGAGGAGAGCGCACCTTCTGGTAGAAGGCGTGCTGTTAGAACCACAGCCCCAATTATCGACAATGTCACAGAGATCCGCAGCGCGGAGCTGAGGGAATGGCGTGAAAATTATCTCGACAATATGGACGCTGCCATCAAGAAATCTCAAACTATGAAGGACGCTAGAAAAGCAAAGGGGAACGCCAAAATCATGTTGTTTGACGTTGGGCTCTTTGGAGAACTCAAAAATCCACTTTTGAAGCAGTTGTTCTCTACAAAGGCCTTATTAGAAAGCCTCAACGCAACCTTTGAAGGTAGAAAGCGCAAGGGAACTGAAGATTCTGAAAGCAAAGAAAGAAGAATTAGAGCGAGAGTCTCGGGAGGCCCCGATGAAGAGATGGGACTTGCTCAAAATCTCGCCGATGAATATGAATTACCTATGGAAGGCGGTGATGTTGTTGAGATTGGTGACGCTGAGATCGAGATCGGTCGTGAAGGTCCAGAAATCGGAAACGATGATATTAGACCTTCCAGCCAAACTACTCTTCCGTGGAATTTAATGTCAGAACGCAGATCACGTGCTGGATCCGTTGCAATGAGTGAAGGTCGTCTTCCTTCTGTTGGTGGATTTCCATCTAGTTCTGCAGGCGGCAGCCAAATAGACTTCCCAAGCATGAGAAGAAGCTCTAAACTCGGCGCCATCAAGGGTGGGTTTGAAAGGCTGAGTATCATTGGATCACCAATAGGTGAGCGTGATGAAGACGTCGAGGAGGATCTTAATCGCGAATTCCCACCAGGGGAAGAGATGGAGTTTGAGTATTTTGGTGCTGGTAGGCTGTCCATCAAGACGATATTATAGCTTGATATCCCATACTGATTAATATACCTATGTAGGCGCAAACGTTGATACACAGACTGCCCAGGATAGCCAATGGCTCGCTGCCACCGTAGAACAAGAATCTACGAACTTCTTTGAGTACAAATCCCCTCATAATTTTGTTTAGTAACAAGCCACCTCATCTTTTAACACGATTTTTTATTTTTTATTTTTTTATTTTTAGGTTTGTCAAAGCAGAGCAAGAAAAGTCTAAGAGAACTGCTGAGGACAACGACGAGGAACCAGTAGACTTCCTCACCTTTGAGCAGTTGCTCGATCCTACTCAGAACGGGAGGATCGTAGCTGCGCAAGCTTTCCACCATACACTTCTGCTAGCCACTAAAGGGCTTGTCTGTGTCACCCAGGAAGAACCATATGGAACTATCCAGTTAAGCATTTTGGAATTCTGATCGATTTTACTACTAGTCGGGGTTGACCTGGTTGTCTAATGGTAACAATCACCCTAATGCGTGGAATCCAAATTTGAGGTTGAGGGTCAATATTAGTTGCATCGATGATATCAAATATTTTATGGGGTTGGGTCATGGTATTAATTATGTATTTTTTTTACTGCACGTATCAATTGTTAGATAGTATAGCAATATGGCGGTAGTTGCAAGTATTAGTTAGCACTTATGACAGGATAAAGGGATATAATTCCTGGTGATCCAGAGCTAAAGCAGTCAAAACAGTAAAAAAAAAGCAGTGTATCTCACAGATCGCTCCACACCCAAGCTAGAAACCTGATCATCATAAAAATGCAAAATCCGTCATACAAATAACCCGGACTCCCTCTTCTACCTGTGCATCCCAAGCTAATCGAAAAAAAAGTGACTACCAAAAAATGAAATTACAAGAGTAAGATAATACCTGGAAAATACCACAAAAAAGGAAGGGAAAAATAAAAGTAAAAAATGAACAGGATTGGTAATCGGGAGAGACTCCTTACTTCCCAATTCGTTTTTCCAGTGCATCCACCCTAACACGGAAGCCTTTCACAATCTCTCCGATCCTCTTGATCTTAAGAAACTCATTCTGTAACTCGTCGCATTGGCGTAGGATATCTCGCAGCGTCTCAATCTCGACCGTTGCGCGGTCAACCACAGTAGATGCCCGTCTATGGGATGCTTGTGTGGAACGCAAGGTCTGTGCTGATAACTGCCATCCGGGTAAACAAATCGTCAGCATATTCGTTCTCAGCCCATTCGTTTAATCCGCCCAGCCAATAGCCCTCTTGCAGGAGCAGAAGTAGAGGCAGAAGTAGAAATGATATAAAAGGAGGAATAAAACCCACGTTCTCGACCCGTTGCGATATACTTGCCAGCAAGTTATCAAAATGCGTGCTCAACGCCGCAAGCGCGGCCGGATCCAGCGAGATTCCGCCGTTGCTGCCGCCGCCGCTGCTCGCGGAGGCGGAGGAGGAGGACGGTGGAGTTGGACGAAGACGTCGCTGCTGGGCAGCAATGTACGAAAGGTCCTCGCGCGAAATGTGCAGGGACGGGTCGGTTATCGGTGGGGGGTTCATGGAGGTTACATGGAGGGGCGATTTGTTGAGATGCTCGCCCGTCAGGATGGGGAGGGAGCTTCGTTCAACTCCTCCTTCCTTCCGTCCTGCTCCTCCGCCCTGCTCCTCCGGTCCGTGGGTGTGGTGGCCGGGGGTGGGGGGATGAAGGGGTAGAATTGGGTGGACTTTCTTTTAGGGTTATTAATGGGGGCCTGGTCCTGGTATGTGTGTGTGTGCGAGGCCGAGGATGTGTGGGTGTGTCGATGTGATCGTGATCACTATGGTGGTTGTGGTGGTTGTGATGGTGGTGATGTTTGTTTTTTTGACGTCAGTACAGGCAGGAGGGTCTGGAGGTCAATAGTTGCTCTGTATGTAGTTGAATGTATGTAATATGTAGGTGTAGTAGGATGTGGTGACTTGACCTCGATCTGATAGATAGTCCAGAAGAGAAGAGAGAGGTTGGCAAGCAAGGCTATCTCGAACTGTCAGTTCGAGTAACTTGTCTGAGTAAAAGTTATGCGGAGCTTTGACCATTCATGATACCCGCTTGGGTAGTTATGTGACGCGTTACCGAGACTGGGATTGTCGACCGAATAAATACCAGTCTACCACTTGAGTACATACATGGTACAATGCCCAATATCATCACCGGTTTCCTATCCAGTACATTTTCCGTCCTCCACACCTCTAGAACAACTCCCCAATCTCAATACCATATCGTGGTGGTTGCTACTCTACTACTATATAAAAGGTAGTTACATTATGGGTACTGTTACATACTGCTACATGCCTACCTACCATGGATCTTTATGAAAATTAAAAGGGCAAGATCAGAAAATCTGATAGTGACATGCACCCATAGGAGCTTTAATGAATGGACGATAAGATTAAACTTTTTTTCTTTCCTTTTTCTCACCCCCCCCCCCCCCGCCTCCCCCCGGACATGGACCCCAGCTACCTATGTCATGTATGTCTGGCCAGAGCACAGCAGTACAACCGTTTTGGCCCACCAGAGAATCTCATTGGCTGTTCCAAACCTTCGTTTCGCGTGCCCTCGATTCTTTGCTGCGAGGAAATCGTTTTTCTCCGATCATGTCTGTCGCGGACTGCAGGCTTGCTGCGCATGCAGTGTGCCACAAAAAAAAAACGGATGCGGAGAAGCTGACTTGAAACGAGACCGATACCCGTCGTTTGGCGACATATAACCCTACCTTACCTAGCTGACTTATTTAAGAGCCGTTAGATGCCATCTCTTTTTCCTTTCTGCCTGCCTTCCCTCCCGCACGCGGCGGATGTGGGAAAGGGGTGGGGGTTTATTCTGGGTTTGCTCCGTGTGGCTAGACCGCTGGAGTGTTACCTTTTAGGGTTCATGTTGCGTTTGAGCGCTTTGGAGGGTCATAAACGCGGATGTGGTATCCTATCCATGTATCAGCTACTAATAACAGGTCTAATATAGGTATATATAGTACACTGGACTTCCAGACTTTTCGGCGCAATCTGGAGTTTTTGTTCTGCTCGCGGCGGGAGTTGCTTGTTGGTTTTTTCGTCTTTGAACGAGTTGATCCTTTTTACAAATAGGTAGCAGAGACTGAACTAGATTTTTTTAGAAAGGGCCTCGACCTAAGATTCAAAACAGGTCATGTTATATGCTGATCCCGGAGTATTTTCTTGGAGGAAATGGACCAAATCGATGCATTCCCGTTAGGGGTTCTAGAACAGAAAGCCCCTTCTTAAATGCATTTCCGTCGAGGCCCTCATATATATGATCATATATTATATCAAATGATAATATAATTCCTTAAGCCTTCCGATGCTTCTGACCGGTGTTTCTCCGGCTCAGACGGCCGATGTCTTTACTCACTCTCAAGTACTCACGCCGTTGTCTAGCGCCGTACTATAGCGCTAATATAATGCGGTTCCTTGTGAGACCCTTCCTTGCCAATGCCTTTACCGGCTCTGGTAGAGCGTTGATGCCTTTGTCGTACTCTATATGGAGAACAAACAGTTATAAGAGCAAGGACCAAAAGTGAAACAAGCGGCTAACAATTCCTTAACCCTAACTGATACAAGATACCGAGCAACGCCACAGTGCGGAATAGTCAGTAACTTTGCCATGCGGATAAGATGGCCTCAGTGAGCCGGGTATAACTACATGTATACTTTGCGATGCATGTAAAATTCACACAGACACGTGTGTAGTAATTGTAGTAAACTCTCTATTTGGGTATGGGGTGCAAATTCCCGCTTTCAGTAACGGGACTTCTCCTATAGGGGTACCACTTTACAGTCTGATTTATACATGTACCGGTACACTGAGGTCACTGTAGGTCTTATTTGACTAAGCATGGATTAGATAATTTAGCATAAGTATCAGAACGCACGACATAACTACATGTACATGTAGAGTACACTAGTACTGTACCAAAGACGGGAGTGGATTCAGTACCTTATCTGGCAGGATACTGAGAAGTTGCGATCTAGCTTCGACATTACGATTCTAACTTAATTCAAGACCTTTACGCAATTCCGCATTGCCCATATATGCGCGCGTGGCCCAGAACTTAGTGGATACTAGTATATTGTTAGTGATATCAAAAATTTTCCTACTATTTCAAGATCTCAGTTTTCTTAATATTTCATTGTTTCATTTCTTCGTTCGTCTTGTAATAGCGTGTGGACATTAGTAATTATAAGCTTTTACATAAAAGAAATTAAGAAATCACGAAATCAAAAATTAAGGAATAAGAGGTTAAGAAGGTAAGAGTCGTGACGTCAATTGCAAGAAATTAGGAGACATCCAACATGACGTCAAGAAGGTAAGATGTTAAGAAGGTAGGACGTTAAGAAAGCAAGAGAGATGAAAAAAAGAAAAAAGAAAAAAAAAGGTCAAGAACGTAAGAGGTCAAAAGAAGTCGAGAAATATAAGACCAGAAATATCATGTCTACTATAAAAATCTATACTACAAGAGTCCGTCTTAGATTTTATATCCCACATCCTTCTTTACAGGCCTCAATCTCCCGCGCCAATTCGCCGCACGTTCAGCCACCGCCACAGTCTTCGCCGACCTACTTCTGATCTTTGCCGTACCTCCTTGGCCTCCCACCATCCTAAGCTTATACTCCCCCCTCCCCGGCCCCTTCAGCAGCTTTCGAATCTGCCTCGACAGCTCCAAGCTAAATCCAAGCCTCTTGTCCGAAGAGCAGCGTGCATACGCCTCTCGGTGCGCATTGCGGAGTCTTGGCGACTCGTAGATGCGGTGGTTCGAAAGGCGTGTTTTGTTGAGCGTCGACAGATCTTTGAGATGTGTGATCTGGGACTCGAGGCTGTCGTAGCGGATTTCGCCCCACTTGATGGAGTAGTTCTCGAAGGCGTGGCGGTAGATGGACTTTTTGTTCATGTGGCGGTAGAGGGAATTTTCGTCTGGGTTGAGGTAGACGACCTTTTTTTTTTTCGTGTTGAGGTAGATGGACATTGTTCCTGGAGAGGGCATACAACTTGTGCTAGCTTGACAGAGCAGCATCTTTTGTGTGTAGAGAATTATAATATAGGGTTTGGTTAAAGACGGAGTAGAGAAAGTAGAGTTTGGGAGGGAATGTATTTGATGGTGAGAGTGGGAGTGGAGAAAGTAGAGTGTCGGAGGGAATGTGTTTGATGGTGATAGAGAGAGTTAGTGTTAGGAAGATGAACAGGCGCAAAGATAGTTGCTGTCGTTTTAATAAAGGTGCTACTAAGAGTGGTTGTTTGCCTGGTGTCGATACCATACTATGGGTGCGGGAGAGATTTGCGTTAAACACAAGAACATCAGAAGCAAAAACACCGATAGAAGCAACCGTATAAATGTGATAGAGAACTAATGGTAGGGAGGGATTGGACTCGGGCATGGTTGGCTCACAAACGTATTCGGTCTCAAGTGAGAATACACCGAGTGATATTTCATGACTCAAGTGAGACCTTGATGCGCACAAAGCTTTGAATTTTAAAAAGTAAATACATCTTGTGCCCCGATTTTTAGGCTTGTCACAAGGACAAGGTTTGAAAAGATAGGAATTTTATTATAAAATGACTATTGTGTAGGCTACTCGATTAACTACATGATCTACTAGTCGTTTCATTTAATTCGTCTTTAATTTCCCTAAATCTTTTTGCAATTGTAGGGTTTGATACTTATGTGTGAGTACTTTGGGGACTTTTGTAAATTTAAACGGCATAATTTCTCTCGCTATGTCGGGAAAATTCCACTAGTCAAGGATATGGTTTAAGCCATCGTTCTGCTGCTTCTACCATATCTTATTTATCTCCAAGCCCTAACTGCCTGTCGGTGAATTAAGAATGGAGCTTTGCGCCAGCTCCCGACTGCTATATAAGAACACCTTTCTCCCACTTCAACTCTTTTTTTCCTTTGGGAGCAGGCAGCTCTTCCGTGGCCCTCCTCCTGGCCCCTCTCTCTTGTTTTGTTCTCGGAGGGTATCCGGTCCGAGAGCAAACAAGAGGAGGCGATTAAAACCTCTTGCCTCTGCCTCGCTCGGGGGCAAAGTGACTCATGCCACTCCTGGTACCCGCTTGGTCACTGTTGCCCTAGGGGTTAGGAGTGGCACAGGTCACGTTGGTTCACCTTCTCGGCCTCTCTTGGTCGCTGGCCTCTGTCCCAGCGATCAAGAGGGACCTGGGTCACATTGGGTCTCTCCGGCGTTTTTCGCCTCTCTTGATCCTTGAGTTATCTGCCCAAGGATCAGGAGGGGCCTAAGTTGCGTTAGATCTCCCCGTCCCTTCACCGCTCGTGCTCTCTTCTTGTGGAGAGAGAGTACAGATCTCACTCCATTTCTGGGCTCAGTCCGAGGAATTGAGTGAGATAATCTCGCCTTCCTTTTGCTTTTTGTGCCCCGACAAGGAGAGACCACAGGTTTTTTCTGAGTCTTGAGCGTAGGCCCTCTTGGTAGGTACCAAGCAGCTGTGTCTCCAAGGTAAATTGTGAGACAGGCCGTATTTAGTAGCTGCAAGCTCGGAAATATGTAATTAAACAGAGTAAGGTGACTAGGCCCTGAAATCTGGCCTTATACGGCTTCTACCTGAAGCAAACACACGCAATTACAAGCTTCGATGATCAAATTTGCAAGCTAAGAGTAGCCATGTATATGTTGCCAGGCTCATGGGACACCGTCTAGAGCCGTGATGCTAGATGGTTAGGTTAATTAATCCACATAATACATGTTATGGTTTATTATAATTACCTAACAATCTTCAATTATGTTCGATCTAATACTTTATGCCCTTCACCACGCAAACCGCGCTATTCCCACCATGGCCCAACCGAAGCATTTGCATCATGAGATATCAACCGGCTGCCAAGCAGCCACTAATGTCACCTGACGTCCTTCAAACTAACTGATTGTTAGTTAACTAAACGAGTCATCGCCATGTCTCAGGCGAATATCAGACCACAAATTGATTGGTTGAGGATTGTTATGGATTTCTTTAAAAGACATAAAAGTCACATAGGCTGTATTGGACAATCACAGACATACATCGCCACTTGGACCCATGCCGCTACCTTTTATCACCTCGTCAATATATATAGAGTGACCGAGGGCTACTTGTTTTAAATGATATTTTGGAGCTGTTGAAACGTGGCTGTGGGACAAGGAGCCACGGCCGTAGGAAATTACGATCACGAAATATCACTCGGCGCGCCTCGGATTAAAAACTTGCACCGGTTTATCACGCAAAGTCACAAGAAAAGCTTGTAATAAGGAAAAAAACTTTTATATAAAACCTATTCGAAAAGAAAAAGAAAAGGAAAAAACCAAGAAGAAATGCCCCCTACACCCAGTATACCGATATAAGTACCTATCAAAGCAAGCAAAAATCCAATCATACCCAGCATAAGAAACACTCTAATTACTACACACCTACAAACCACTTATACCTCCTCATGGTCCCTGACATTTAGCTCGTCGAACTCATCCAACAGCTCATCCATGCCGATCTCCGGCAATCCCTCCTCGTCATCATCCTCATCCGTCTCCTCAACATCCATCTCATCTCCAGTCTTCTCCACACCCTCCATTCTCGTACCACTCGGCGGGTTCTTCCTCGTGTTCTTGTACAGCGCCAGCGTTCCTCTCAGCTCCGCATCCTCCTCCACATCCCGCAAGAACATCTCATAATCGCGCTCCGCACGTTCTTGGTCCTGTTTCCTGGGCAACATCTCGGACTCGTCCTTCGCCATGCGCTGCAGCTTCCAAGCACGAGACTTGTTCTTCTTCTTACGTGGGTAGCTCTTCTTAACGAGGATTACATCTGGGATGCGGTCTGGCGCGTTGCGCTCCAGCTCTGCGAAGTGCTCGTTGTTAAGGTTTGCACCGGTGAGATGGTAGCCGAGAGCCGAGTCTCCTGGGTGTAGAATACCGCCGAGATGAGTGCGGACAAGATAAGTATTGTTGTTTGATGCCATGTCAGATGCGCGGGCGACAGTGACATCCGCGAGAACGTGCTTTCCGTGGGTAGCACCTAGAGGTTCGATATCGAGGACGATGAACTCAACGAGGGAGGACACGTCGGCGAGAGAGCTGAAGGGCGCGCGCCAGTACACGTTTGTGGTGATGTCGGTGACCTGGAGGGTGTTGGGGTCGAGAAGGTGGATACTGTTTCCGACGCGGTTGCAGAGAAGAAGTGGGGGGATGTTTCCAAGAGTACGGGCCATCTTGAGAGGGATACAGACGAGGTCGTCTTTGCAGATTGGCACAATCTCGATAGAGTAGGTGAATTTATAGGACTTTGTAGATGTGTGGATATCCGTTGAGATTAGCTCAGAGGACTTCTGAGATCGGACTGGGGCAACGGCGGCAAGAAAGTCGACCATCTTGGTGGCGTGATTTCGCTGAGAGTAGAAAAAGTCCAATCCGTCCTTGGCTTCGCGGATATTTACAGTGTCGCGGTGGGCGTTGTGTTTTAGGATCAGCTGCTCGAGGTAAAGGAAGGTACGCTTATGTGGGACCTTCTGGCGGACTTGCACACACGCTCTCCATGTGTTCGCTATACCATCATCAGCAAAGCTCACAAGGAATGACTACCGCCACTACCACTACTAACCTGTATACGACTTCGCACAGTCCGGGCACTGGTGATACGCTACCACGTACTCGACCTCAAAACTCTGCTGCAGAATTGTGGACTCAAACGCCTCCTGCTGCACTGTGATCTTGACCTTGATTCTCTTCGAGTGGGGCTCCGTCCATATGAAGCTCGCATCGATGATTCGGACCTTTGTAAGACCTCTCAGTCTACGCAGACATAGCGCAAGTAGTTCTCTACTCTCTAGCGCGGCAGCGACCCAGTGATTTGGGGGCTGCAGCCAGCGGTCACATCCACGGCAGAAGTGAATGGTGGCTTCGCGCTGGATTCCAGAGGAGATATCGACGTTGAGTTTGATACAGTCGTAGCACATGGCGACACCAGTGCTGCCATCTATAGGGGCGCCACAGGTTGCGCAAAGAATTCTAAAGTGGCGATATTGATCAGTCAGGTCCTTGCAGGCATGGAGAGGGTGCTACTAACGTTGCGATGGATGCCTTTTGGCCCGTAAAGGGCTGCATTGATACGGAGTCGTCGATCTCCATTTTAGATATGATTTCTAAGGTTGTTTCTGTCCTGTTTTTATTAGTATATGGTGGTGGTGGTGGTGGTGATATTTTGTGAGGGAGGTGAGGGAGGGTTATGTTGGGTATTAGTGGGGGAGAGGCAAAGAGCGCAACTTTTTTTATTTTTATAATTTTTTATGCAGTGGTGGTACCCCGCGAATCTTATCTAATCTCTTTGGGAGTTAGCCAGGGGCGCAGATAAGATTTCTAATCGGATGGTTGTTAAGCAGAGTGACGCATGTGGAACCCGGTGCATGGGGTTAGTGTGCTACTTTGGCGCTGATAAAATAAATAGTTCTTTAATAAAGCTCTAACAGCTTCTAAATCACTCACGAAACTCGGCATACTATAGATGCACAAGTACTAATCATGGTGAGTCAACACGAATTGCAATCCCTAGTACAGTTAATAACACCCCTAGCCACCGCGCCGAAGACCCCCCCCTCCGCCGCCGCCCGCCGCCCCTACAAAGAAATCCAACGCCTCCAAGGCTGCAGAAGCACTCGGGCTAGATGCCGGTGAAGAAGCCGAGATCCAGGAGGCATGGGAGATGTTTATGGATGCTGATGGGTCCGAGGAGGTGGGCGAACCGGTGGTGATTACTGCGGATGTCCGAAGGGTCATGATGTTAGTCGCGCCGCTTGTATTTGAGCTGGGGACTACGAGAAAGTGAGTGTTAATGTGGAGTTATAGGGCGCTAGGGTTTGATTCCTCGAAAGAGGAAATGAAAGAGATTCTGGAGGTTCTAGATCCGGAGAACGAGGGCTTTGTCACGTATGGCATGTTTTTAGAGGTTGCGGCGTTGAAGATGAAGAGCAAGTTTATCTTCGTTTTACAAATAATAGTGGTTGCTAACATGACTACAGACCGAGACCAGAAACTC